GGGAGACATGAGTGAACTCCATGGATGGAAACGATGCAGGGGTGGGGAGGGGGGGGGGAATCTCTAAATGTCGCAGAGATAAATGTCGCAGAGATACTCTTTAGGTGCTTTCCGACCCTCAATAGGACCCCTTTGCACGCGGTCTTCGAGAAGTATAGCATTAAATTTTGCAAGAGCTCTCAACCTCGCTGATATCCCGAAGAAATGGGACCGTTTCAGCGCTCCTTTGGCAGCAAAGTGGCGAAAAGCAATAGTTACGCGACCAATCGCAGCTTTTAAATCCATCACCAGGCGAACTGAGTACTGCATCCTTCCGAGATCGGTTAGTGACAGTGTCCTGCTCATAAATGAAAACTCCGGCTCCGGGTGGTGTCTTGCGCTCGGGAAGTGACAATTTCCACTTTTGCTGGTTCTTGTTAACTTACAGATTACCTGTAAACTCTTGTGAAGCTGCGAAACGGTACAAGTGGGCCATTTGAGTTACAGGAATTAAAAAGTTTTCACAAAGTGACCTAAACAAGCTTTGTTGAGTATCATTTAGTGTCCTCAATTGGCTGGAGTGCTTCCTTTGGAGTTTGTTGGGCGAATGTCGCGGGCGCTGCGTAGGGAACACTGATAGACAATATGCGCAGGCCACACCGAAAACATGCACAATCAAAACGTAACACGAAAAGCAGAATCACTCCTGCTACTGTTACGGTTGGGTGCTGCCATTATTGATCGGGAGTTCCTTGCTAAAATTTACCTGCTCGCTGACACTGTATTGAGGAGTAAGTGTCCCTTCAACCAGATAGACACGATTTTTCATCGGAGATCGACGCAATCGTTGCTTCTGTTCTTCATATCGTCCCTGGAAACCAACTCTTCACCACGATCGTTAAGTGTGCGATGGGGATTTCAGCGCCTTCTAACAAGGGATTGAGGCAATTAAACCAACAACGTTAACAACGAATGCTGTCTAGCTGGCGAGCGTACTCTGTGCATAACATTGATCACAAGGTAAGACAATGACAGTTACTGAAGATAACCAGACGCTCTACCACTTTTTGTAGCTCGAAAGTGAATAACTCGGGACCCTCGTTATTAACTCTCGAGCTACAAAAAAAGGCTAGAGTTTTTCGAACTGTAGACACCACTACCGTCTTCGAGGAAGATGTTATAGCTATTGGGTACTTATAAGGGTAATTGCAACAATCCTACAAAAAATGCATGTTCTTCTTCTTATCCCTAGCGTTAGTCCCGCGCCGTCGCAGGGTCCTGTTCTTGTTAGACGTCGCCACTTGTTCCGATCCAGTGCATCTTCTGCTGTGGCTTTCACTTTAGTAAAGCCCTTCTTGATGACGTCCCTCCATCCTCTCTTTGGTGTCTACTTCGAATTCCGATGCCTTCCTTATTGGAAGGTCTTCAGGCCTCCTCAGTACATGCCCATACCATCGCAGTCGCTACTCTCGTGCTTTCAGCTGGATCGGAGCGGTCTGTGTGACCGCTCTGATCCAGCCTCCTCGTTTCTGACCTCTGGCCTCCTCGTTTCTGACTCTGTCGAGTCGTGTCCAACGCAGGCCTATCTCAGCATCCTCATTTTAGCTGATTGGAGCTGCCTTTCATGGTTCTTGCAGATGGACCAGTATTCACTGCCGTAGAGCATTGTAGGCCTTACCCGCCCGGTACACCGTGCCCTTGAGCGTTCTCGAGCACCGCCGCTTGCAAAGGATACCATGGACTCCCTCCATTCCATCCAGGCTGCGTTGATACGGGCTTTCACCGCCTGGTCCACGCTGCCATCAGCTGCTAGGTCCTCCCCAGGTACTGGAAGTCCTTGACCCTTTCGATGCTCTTGCCGTGACGGTCTACGATGGGTTCGGCACACTCTTAAGAGTTCAGGAACTTGGTCTTCTTCACGTTCAGCCGGAGCCCATTCTAAGCGAGCACATCCTGCCACCGCTGCACCTTATCGTGGAGTCCCTGCTGTCCGCTATCAGGGCCATTTCGTCAGCGTAGAGGATGGTTTTCAGTGGTCCCTCCATGAGTTCTTTTGCCATGTCATCTAGAATCAGGAAGAAGAGGAACGGCCGAGGGCTGATCCTTGGTGTAACCCAACCGTGATGTTTACCTCTTTCGTCAAGCCGTGCGAGGTGCGTACGGCTGCTTTAGCCCCATCGTACATGTCCTTCACTAAGGAGATCAGGCGCTCCGGGACAGAGCTATACCGCAAGATAAATGAATAGAAGAGATGTCGGTTCTTTTCTGTGTTACGCAATATTTTCTGAATTTTATACTTATTAATTTCTCAACATGTACAATTTCCAACACTTAGGTCCCACCATCTCTGGAGCGCCTGTACTCTGAGGCGCGTTCTCGAAGCGCTCTCCGAAGTACAGGCCGAGACAGGCGGTCGAATACCTTCTCAAGGTCTAGGAAGGCTAGGTAGCAGGGTCGCCGCTTCTCTCGGTACTTCTCCATTAGCTGTCTGACGATGAAAATGGCAACAGTGGTGGACCTTTTGGGCATGTAGAAGGACTGTTTCTGCGAGATAGCGACACGTTCTCTTAGCCTTGTGTTGACCAGGCGCTCGTACAGCTTCATGGTATGGGGAGTCAACTTGGTGCTACGGTAGTTGGAGCAATCCGTCGCTTCATATTCCTGTTTGAAGATGGGGACGATTGTGCTGCTCCTCCACGCATCCTTCCTAATGCCGTTACGTTGTTCAGCACGTTTGTGAGCCAACTCACCCCGCCTTCACACCTACAAAGAAATGATTATAACGGTCTGAATTTACATTACTTTTGCATAAGCTAGTGATGTCCGCTTTACATCATCTCTACTTGAATATTTTATTCTTTTCTATACATTTTTTCTGGACACTTTTCGTGCAAAACTTGAACCATACCGATCTGATGCTTTGATGAAGATCACTCCATGTTTTTCGTTCAACAACCCAATCAAGGATAATCTCAGTGCCATCAATCTTACGGGCGACCCATACGTAGTCACCAACTGATAGAGATCGCACTTCCACCTAAACAGACACATTATTCGAGTAAAAATTGCATGAAGAAAACCATTACCCGATGGCTAGATTTGGTTAGACACTCGACCACGGTATTTCCACGAAAATTTGCATTGTTTTCGCGGAGGTCTGCGATCAATATAACCTGAAACAGATTTAATACACGAAGATCTGCATGCAAACAACCAGGATATGTCTTCAAGTCTTTTCAAGGGTTGCTCGGCGTCACTTGCACGCTTATACGTTGAGCCAACTTCTACAGCTTATCCGAAAATAGGGTGAGGGTTATGACTTCCGTTTAGGGTTTGTTTGTTTTGATGTGTTGACCTCCGTGGAGAACGCCGTGCGGTACTATCGCTAGAGTATTGTCGGGAGCTGTCATCACTTCATTAGTGAGGAGTACTTCCCATTAGTGAGGAACTCATAAAGAATATAGTGACTGTCCCATGATGTTTTCATCTACTCCACCTTCAGGAACCTTTCACGCAGCGATCAGACGTCGCTATGACGCGCGTCGACGCGCTATAACTGCAACAGCGCCCCAATACTATTGACGCGAACGAACATTACAGAAACATAGTGTTCTCGCATATTTTCAGGAGTAATCCGGCGGCACCCATGGTGGCGATGGGCAGCAACGGTAACTCGACCTATTGGGAGTAACGATTCCCATTCAGTAAACAGAGATGGGGCATCAATCGCGAAATGACGCCAAAGCTGACAAGCATGCAAGCATTCAGGGCGTGTGGCTCAGCTGACCCTTATGCAGGGCCAATCACTGGTTGGAAATTTCGATCGAATAGATACGACCCCCCCCCCCTAGGGCTTGGTGCGACCTCCTAGCTCCCTCCTCTGATGGAGCTGTTGAGGGGGAAGTACATGTGAAGCGGGGGCAAAAACACCACCAAAACTCAACAACCTGTCGAAAGGCAAACACGACCCCATGCTCCCCCCCCCTCCTTAAGGGAGAAAAATTAACTATCAAAAAAAACCTTCTCGGACCAAATACGACCCCCCCCCCTCCTCCCAGTGACCAAATACGATCACTACCCCTGTTAGGAGCTCCCCATCGATAATGTGCCCTGCCCCTACCATATCTCGCATTCGTATACCAACACTGTGATTTCTATTGTCGTGCCGCAGTAGGTCATGTGTCCGTTTATCCGTTGTCCGTTAAATCGAATCTGCTGCATACCTCAGGTTGGTCACTGGGCTGGCAGACACAATAAGTGATGTTCTCCGAAGATGTTCCCTCATCGTGTACAGTCGAGGCTTCAGACCCACTGTGAACTGGCTGGCTGTTATGGTTACTTTCCTCCGACGTTTTCGTTTTGTCCTGTAACGTACTCTGAAACGCAAGTATTTGGAAGCTGTTTTGATATGATAACCATTGTTTAACGCCGCAGTTCGCGTTCCGAATGTTATCACAAGAATGCTGAGTTGTGGGCAAAAGTCGTACCCCAGGCGGGTGTCGAACCCGCACCTCACGCTTTCCGTGCGAGTGCACTATCCGTTACGCCACCAGGGCCGCTTTTACCCTCTCAGCTTAATGGCTTAAATGCCGTAGCCTTATAGCACTCACACGTTCAACTTGGTGAGCCGGTCAGCCGTAAATGTTAGATATCGGCAATGAACCGCCACAGGAAATTTTCACTCTAGACCCTCATACGTCATCCATCTCTAGCGTTTCCGACAAAACCTCAGGAAAAACTGTCTGGACTGGGCGGGTTTTTTTTTCCTCTATCAGCATTTTAGGTTGCTTTCTTGATACTGGAAAGTAAAGGCGTGTAAAGGTTTAGATAGAATACTTTCCGAGCAGTGAGCCACGTTTGATCCTTTGAAATGTGGTCTAACTGCCTCATGTCATTAATAAGCAGCTCCACCTAACAACCTTGCTGCTATAAAAGGCTGCAAAAGAAAACACCAATCGTGAGAGCAACGCCGAAACTTTACGAAGAGGAAGCTGGACACTATTCAATGAAGTATTTTCCGGAATTCAGTCCTTCCCCGTCAGCGCTCTATATTCACTCTTCTCGGAAAGCGAACGAGTCTCTTCAGGAATCCTACTATATATAATCGGCTTTGTCCGTGCGTGTGTGCGTCTGTGTGTGTGTCTGTCTGTTTGTCACTAAATTCAAAGCACCTGAAGAAGAGCTTGGCGGGGTCGGGTCACGATGGGACAAAACCTAAATAGCACTCATGACCCATGGTAAGCCTCCCCCATAGTGGGCGGGGCGTGCGTCGAAATTTAGCGATGTCACTGAAAAAAGCCATAACTCGGTTCAAGAGCAGTCTCTAGATGTAGGAACAGTGCAGAAAGTTAACAAAGAGCTGATCGACCAAACAGAGGAGACACACCCGGGATGGGAGGGGCGTACTTGAGATGTCCGGCGCTTTCCATAAAGGTCGGTAACTCGGTTCCTGAAAATGTTTAGAGATCCGAGAAAAGTCCATGACAAAGATGAGATCTGGCAAGAGTCCACCATGTTTGCGGCCCATAATGGGCGGGGCGTGCATTTAAAGAGGAGGTCAAAGTATTAAAGGTTTTAGTTTGGTTCTAAAGCACTGCAGAAGGTGCCAAAAAGTGGACTATGGTCCCCAAGTGATCATATGTAGGAATGTGCGAGGCACTCCCGTTGCGGGCGGAGCGTGCGCTGAGGTGGGCGAAGCCAGATTCGGAAAAATTCGCAATACGGTTCTAGAGCACTCCAGACACGAGAAAAATTAGTTCAAGATCACCGAGGGGTTATCAGTTGAGAAGCGCGAGGCATACTTTGTGGACGAAGCGTGCCCCGATGTGGGTGGAGTCACACTTAAAGAATTCGCAAAACGTTTCCAGAGCACTCTAGACACCGGGAAAAAGTACTTCAAGATCACCGAGAGGTTATCAGTTGAGAAGAGTGAGGCATACGTTATGCGCGTAGTGTGCGGCGAGGTGGGCGGAGCTAAATTCAAAAAATTCGACGGTTCCAGAGCACTCCATAAACCGGGGAAAAAGTAGGTCATCGGGGTGCTACCGGTTCACAAGTGTGAGGCTTTCCCGTTGTGGGTGGAGCGTGCGTCGAGGTAGGCAGAGCCGGTCTTAAGAATTCTTCAAGCGGTTCCAGAGCACTCGAGGCCTCCTCTGTAATACGGTCCGGGCTTGCGGCCGTGGTCCATCGCGCCTGCCTGCATTCGTATGATCAAATTCTCGACTAATACCCGGCTTTTCTCTCATCGTCCATTTGATTAACGCTCCTTACCACCATTCCATACACAGTAATAGTGTTGAAAATAGCAGGTATGATGTGGAATATGAACATGCTATTGGTCAAAGAATGTTGACCATCTGTTCAAGTAAAAGAAAAACCGGTGTGAAAGAATACAGGCGCAGCGGAGCCGCGCCCGCTGAGCGAAGCCGTTCTGTATCTTAGAAGAAGGCGCGCCGGCGTACAGCCGGTCAAGCCGGCTGGTGCAAATATGAAGTGAGCATTACACTTTTGCTTCTTTCAAGTCGCAGAGTGGATCCTTTAGTGATCGTTTTCGGAGCATTAGACTGTGAATCAGCATGATTTCTCGTTTTCTTGCCCAGACTGATGAAACTGATGAAGTCTTCTGAAGAACAAAAACACATTTTTTTGAAAGACGATATGATATAACTCTTAAGATAAAAAGAGAAGTTTGAAAAAACCAATGAATAAAACATTACCGTCTCTCAGACTTTTAACAGCTCTTAGATCAATACCAGATGGGTATTTTTCACAGGCCGCTTCCCATGCAGAATGGCAACGAACAGCCAATGTTTCGCCGATACCTGAAATATTCTGACTGTTTCTAGCGATAGTTCAAGCATTATGAATAGTACTAGTCACTAGTCAGAGCGATTGATGGCCTGCTTGCCTTACTTATGTTCTTGTGATTCAGGCCCACCTCCACTCCTCTCCTCCTCTTTCATTGCTGCCTCAATTAAGTTTCGCTTTTTACTTCAACCTTTAAAGACAAAGCCCGCGCTCATTTGCCATCATAGTGAATTTAGGCTTCGTATAAAAAGGACAAGGTTTAGAGTAAAACAATAGTAAAGGAAAAAGCAGAAAAAACATGCCCAATGACCTAGATAGGACCCCATTACAATCCTAGTTTATAATACAATACTTTTTGCAATACCTTCCAGTTTTACCACTCCGCGCGCTCAGCTGACTCAATACACTCTACGTCCGTACAAATAACGAAGGCGCTTATATTTTCATGCTTTTCTCGTCCCACAACTTGGTTTTTCACTGAAATGCGGCGCTTGGGAGGCGGAGTCACTGGAAAAAAAGAAGGAACCACTGGACCTATTTTGCCTTATAGCGCCCCTCCCCTGCAGTTTTTTTGCCGCGAAAAGGGTACAGGGTTGTTCGTCGCGGACCGCACTATCCTCCCGATGCCATATTTTCATCTTCGATACTTGATCGCGGACCGTTCCTTTAATTATCTACCACCTACTTCCGCGACGATTTCTTTGTTGCTTGCAGAGAGGGCATCATCTCGCCTAAATGCTGCCTCACCTTTCCAGTGGTTCGAATACCTCCTCCCTTGTTGGAAAATTCTCAAAGATCATGCGCTTGTGATTAGCTGCAACAAACCACGGTGGGAGGCTCCGTGGATTCAGTAGTGCTAACTGGGCAACTTCAATCAGGTGCCCAATTAGTACTTGGCTGTCTTAGGTAGCTGGCTATAAGCTTGCCGTTTACGGACACAGGCCTGAAACTGAGGCTTTTTCAATTGCCAGGAAAAAAGCTACAGCTCCGCGGAAAAGCAACCATTCCGCCAGCTCCCTATGACTATTTATGATCATCTTACCACTAACAATCAAATGTGATCATCCAATGACTTGTCTGTCTGTCTGTCTTGACAGCAGCGCACTCTTTGAAATTTTCCCGTTTTCCACCCAGCCCTTCAAACGACTCATCATACTTCCACGCTAGCGAAGTGTTCCTCGTGGTTGACTTTCCGCTATCATTCTGGGACCATATCTATTCTGCCGTTTTTATTTCATTTTCTAGATCGTTATCAAATCGAATTCGGATATTAGAATAAGAGGCGCTAGCAGGTCAAATATCCAACCTATCGCTGGCGCACCCACCTTTACCTCTTACCATCAGTGTTTTTCTAATTGAGCCAAAGGTTTAGGCTACGACTAAACTGTGTTCTTTAAGCCGACTGCAAGAATTTCTCATAATCCGTCCGGTCAAGTAACAAACATGGTTCCCGTGAACATAAACAAATACGACACGAAAAAGCGATCGAGTGGTACTGCAACATGTTTCTTGTGATCAGCCTTCCCCTCCAAATGCAATGAATATCAATGAAACTGGCTCCGTCACCGATACGAGCCACTTGACCGTTTCTTCCCGACATATTTGCAGGTCGCGGCTGGTTCTCCAGAGCTTTCTTCATGAGCTGCGTCTTATTTCCCGTTGTAGCTCATGAGGCAGCGTTCAGACTTCACGACGGCGCCCCTCGCTCGCTTGTTCGGCGCGATCGATGCGCATGTTGCGACTGCATCTAACGCGCGACCGAAGCGCTACCGTCCGAAGTCTGAACGCTGCCAGGCAAGCATTTAGAACACACCATGAATGCGTTTGAGATCCGTGATCGAGCAGACTTCGAGCGGGTAGTTCCTCATACTGCAATACGCTTTGTAGATAACAAACTTCTGATTTTTGTCTTCGGTTTGCTGTCGTAGCACGTGAAGAAATCGCTCATAAAACGCCTTCTGATGGTGTTCAACACGAACTTTCACCCGCTTCTCTGGCATCTAACCCTCTGAAAACTGAGAACCATAAAATACTCGTTCGATCACAAGGGGTGCGCATGGTCTCCAATAGTGCAATGTATCACAAAGTCAATAATGATTTATGCGAAGCATGCGTACTTACATTCGATGAAGCGCTCAACGTTGATCAATCGCTATCTTGGTTTACGCCGCGCGTTTGACTTCCACACAGGATCGCAGCGGCACCTGAATGCATCATTGGCACATCAAATGACATGCGGACAGATCTGCATTTTGAAGACAAGATCTGCATTTTGGAGAGAAGATTTTGAAGAGTGCTGAACTTTCATGGCAGAACAACAGCACGGTGGTAAACGACCATACACATGGCTGCGTTTTGACAGTTAACATCATCATCGGCCTCAAACTGTTTCGTAGTGTGAGGCCGATGATAATGAGCTTCTGACGACTCACTGAAAAAAACTCAACACATTCAAGTGCCTCTACGGATCTTAATGGGAGCCAGCGTAGCTTATCAGATAATATCAGAGCCAAAAACTGGAAAACAGCCAGAACAATTGCAGTTTTCCGCGTCGTCGTGCGCGTATCGTGCGACGATGCGCGACAACTTCCATATTTGCACCAGTTTATCAATTGTAGCGAAAAAACCACAAGGATTCAAGCGGAGACAAGACTCCAAGCCTAGCGATATCGACTTCTTTAACATTCGCATTCAGACGGCCAGGCAAGGCAACTCATCGTCGCGCGCGGCGTCGCTCGCCACGCCCAACAACGCAGCATATTACGATTGTCTTGTCGCATACCCCAAAAACTGCGATAGCACTGCAATAGAAGTAGGTCGAAACCAAACAGAGAATACATTTCCGCTTGGGAATCATTTACCTGCAGTTTGTACTACATATGAGAAGACATATAGAAAATAGATAATACACAGACAAAATTGTGATCAGACCACGCAACGATCAACATCAATGACTAGGGCGGATTACCCACCTAACAGAAAATCAATGACGATTTAAGCAATCACTGTGAAAACTTCTCAACCAACATTTATATCTTCTCAGAGCTTATTTAATTACTTTCCCCTAAGAGAAACATTTGCACGCCACTCTCAGAGGGCGGTCAGCTGATTAATGACAACCATAGTCATTGAATCCATATAAGAAACATTTACAGTACTGTGAAAGATAAATCTCGACATCGAGATCGAGGAAGAGCGTATCCTCAACAATATGATCAGAAGGGATATATAAAGATGGTTTGTCAGGAAGTAAAGACACCCCCTCACATATTCAAATGATAAGCCCCTTTACCAACAAACATTGGAGCGGGAATGATAAACACACTGATACCTAGGGATGGCCGCCATTTTCATTCTCTAGCGTTTCGACAATTCTTCAACGAACTTTTGAAAGGGAGAAAAGAGCTCAGCACTAATAGTCATGCCTAACTGTTATGCAATTCTTCAAATGAAAACCTATTGGCAGTGTGAGCCTTCTTGACTGATCCTTACAGGGCAGAAACTCAATAAACCCCAAATGTTCACGAACACTATGTGAGGTATCGCTAATCACGAAAAGAAGCGAAGTTTCTAAATTCTTATAAACCATCTCGCGGACATAACGGATAGAAAAGGAACTATTCAATATCAAGAAAGCGAATATAGTAATGAAGAGGTGTATGAATTGAAACGTCACCTCATAAAAAGTCACCGGAAATATACAAATATGTATTAGAAACAACATACAACCTACAAAATCAGTTTGATGAAAGATTTTCTTGAGTATGACCAGTATTTCAAGAGAATTCGGAAGCAAAGACATAGACAGTCTTAGGAGTGGCAGTGCAGCATTCCACTATCTGACTCTAGACTCTAGATTTAAAACCTATGGTGAACCATCGTAACCTTTCCAAAGATCCTTTGGTTCTTTGGCACATTTGCGTTGTATAAATGCATCGGCATAGTCAGTTACCTGAATGTAGGACATTCGCTAGCAACTTAGTGAAACATCATTGCATTGTCAATAAATATGCCGGCGCTGTTTATCGACGGGGGGGGGGTATTTTGTACTATCACTGTTTCCCTTGTTCTGGTTTGCAAACCTCACTTTGGTAAAACTTGTGAACTCTTGTAAAGCTGGAGCAGGATCGTCTAGCCACCATCCGAAAACGTGTCAACTCGAGAAAACGCTACCTAGATGGGTCGACACATCAATGGAAAGCAAAATGCCCCCCCCCCGTCGATAAACTGCGCCAAATATGCCTGAACAACCGTTAACAGCAGCAGCGTTCTCGAAACAGAAGCAATTATACATATTGTGGTTCGCTGGTGGACAGTGGGGTGTTTCCGCGCGGCGGCCTTGCGCAGCGCCAACCCGCTTTTTTCTTTTTTTCCTTTCGGCAAGCGACAAGACTGTATCATATCGTTCCCCGTTAAGCCGTTGTCAATTCTTCGTTGAACGAATTGTGCAATGGATTACGCTGCGTGCTAAAAGCAGTTGCACGTCTCATCATTCACAACGACCAGACTACACCTTCGACTGAAGCAAATCATTTCACAATGGCGAGAATAACTCACCCGCTTCGCGCCTTTCTCTGTGAGTGTAAAATTGAAATCGACCCGTTCGGACTCCCTCTTCAGCATCTCTTTGCTAACCTGGAAACAAAAATTGTGAAACTGTAAAATTGCTCGGAAACCTATAGAAACGATGCATTGAACAAACCTGTTTGATGATCCATTCCTTCCTCTTTTTAGTAGCATCTTCTCTATGCCCAATATGACGCACTATAATCGGCCCGACCACTTTCTCAATTTCACACATTAGTTTCTGAAAAAAAAAGAATAAAAATGAAATAAAACCAACTTCATTGATATTCAGTGTGAGAGAAGTAGCCTACTGTAGTTTGCAAAAAAATAAGTAAACGATGGGAAATTAAAAGTATATCACAAATAGAAGAATCCTTCTCTTCTAATTTGTTTCTGTATTCGAATCAGGGGTATTCTATCTAAATTCCACTGCTTCCTGGAGAGGGCGGACCTTCCCCCACCAATAATCGCACAGTGCATCCTTGTGTGGGATGCGTGGGATTTAGACAGATCCGCAGCTCCTGAAGTGTTTCACCCCACGAAGCGAAAGAGCGCCATAGAGAAGATGAGGGCTTGTGAAAACCTGGTGTTCTTCTGTGCGCACCTAAAGTTCGATACGCCGCATGTACGCCGTAGTTACGCCATACGAATTTGACATTTATTAGCGACTGCTAAAGAAGAATAACAAAAAAAAAACGCTAGCTATTGCAAAGGCAGAGAATACGACCAGCCATACGCCTGACTTTATACTGCGCCTGACGTAGCTGAATGGCTTGTAAATTGAGTATCGAATAGTGGGCGGAGACACAAGGAAATTGAAGCTGCCACAAGCTTTTAGCTTCATTGCTCAACTACAGTAGTACAAACTGAGGATTCCGAAACATAAAAGACATGTAAAAAAATGTGGTGTAAACTGGGAGGAAAGTAATGATATTACAAAAGCTTACCTTAGCACGTTTTCGGTCAGCGTCATTCCCGAATTTCTCCCAAACACGACGATCGCGATCGCGTTTCTTCTCTGTGGTCTTTGTAACCCCATTACTGATGGCTTGGGCCGGTAACACGGGTGTCGACGATTGTGCACTGTTAGAAGTAGACACATGGGGTGAGCATATTGCTGACCAACGCGACAGAAGACCGTCATGTTGCTTGCTCTGAAAATAAGTTGGCATAGTGGAATACAAAAACAGACGATAGATTTGTGAAAATTCACCGTCTCTATATTGTCAGACTCGGGATCATTTCCACATCCCGATGTGTCGGGCATGCGAGTAGGAGTACGTTCACCTGGATCACTCTCTTCTCCATCAGGAAGTTCCCACACTGATTCACGTGTTTCCTTGAAGGAGTGTGGTGAAACGAACCATAAGAAAAGGAGTGGAAATTAATAAGCCAATGTTTTCTGATTTGGAATTTCCGAATGATTTTCGAAGTCAATCAAAGCCAGGAGAAAATCTGACAAATGTTGCTTTGTTGCTAGGTAAAAAATATACTGCACTTTTTGTTGAAAAATCGTTGAAAGTGAGATAAACCTACACACCTTATGATAGTAATACTTGGCTCCATCCTCGTCCACTGCTTTCCTCCACATGTACTCCTTGTGAGGCGGTGGCGGGGGAGTTTTGGGAGTGGGCGGAAGTGGTGTGGGCGGAACAACCGGAGACTGCACTTCCTTCTGGATGGTATTCTAAAAAGGTAACAATTTCTTAGTGTTTAAAACCAACTAAATGAGTAAATAAAAGGATTAAGAATAGAGCTTCCGCCATGGATCATCGCTCCTAGTGAAAATATGCAGCTTTTCACGAACAGCAGAGCTGCAAGGAAGGGTAAGAAGCAATAACCCACAGCTGCAACCTTTTTCGCAATGTAGACAGGGCAGAAAAGGAGGAAAAAATGTACAAAATATAACTTTATTGATTCCACGGTGAACATTACCTCCGACGTCTTTTGGTCCAACACCGACTGCAAGATCGACATTTCCTTCACAAGGCTTTGCAGACGAGATCTGTAAGTTCATTGATCACTAACTGGTAACAACACTATCGCTTAGAACATGGCCTTGTTCGCTGCGGTGCCAAATCCCTTTTTCACCAGTTGTTGAAGCCAGCAAGCAACAAAGCTGTATGATATCGTTCGTATCGGTCGCTTTCCATCCACTGTTGTTGCTTACCCGCTTCAGCAACTGATGTAGAACTCGTTGACGTCGCGCCAATTCCATTCCGCCTCACAAGCCCGTCATCCGCAGCGAACAAGATGGTATCAATTTCGCGAACTCACTGCAGCATCGGTATGTCACAACTCTGATAGTACTTCCGGTACTCTTCGGAGTCAAACTCATCAGGCTGAAGCTGGGAATAGTCGTATGAAGTTTGGTAGCTTGACAAGGCAGGCACAGAAAGACTTGCATATGACCCGTAGTCGTAGTAAGGAACGGTTTGAGGATAAACTGCAAATGACTAGAGTTGGACACTGGTGGAAAGGCATGAAGATAAATGAATACGAAATAGCATGGATTTGAAATAGCCTGTAAGAATGCCAATCCATACAAAAAAAGCAAGGAAATCAAAACACAGCTGGGATCATTAAACGAGGAAGTGAATCGAATCCCGTAAAGAGATGCACTGTTTATGTAGATTCAGAATAATACCATTACTAACTAAAAGAGGAAAACTAAATAGCGCTGTTCGGGGGTGCACGAGCTTTGCAGAGTGCCAATTATTGCCTCCCCACCCAAGCCGAACTGCGCAAACGAATATATTCTATCTCTCTGCAAAATTTCAAGAGAGACAAACCTTGAGGAATAGCCGGAGGTGGTGGTGGTGGAGGAACTGGCGGTGGAACCACTATTGGAGCCGGTGAGAGTATATTCGGAGGCGGTGGTGGAGGTATATTTGTAGCCACAGGCGGGCGCCACTGCAAGAAAAAAAAACAAGTATGGGCTTTGAAAGATACAAAACCTGCTTCTTCAGCCCATATAAGCCTCACTCCAGGTTACAATGTGAAGAAAACGAAGTTTGCAATTATCAGGAAAGCCGCATTCTAAAGCTCTTACTGCAATGCTATGCCCTTTACGTATTTTAACACTCCTGAAGCCGCGCTCAAATTTATCGCCACCTTCAAACGTCACCCCACTGAACTGAAGGAAAACCCTGCTTCTTTAGCCCATGAAAGCTATCTCACGTAGCATTGTTCGCTTCTAGTAACTTTTCATGATAAAAGCATTACAAAGCCTTTTTGAAGCTGTCCTTTGGCTTTCCAGGTCGACACGAGGAACGCTCATCTACATTAACGATCTTCCTCGTCCTACTCAATCGTCTCAATGCAGTAATCGCCCCGAGTTCGTAAAGTCACAAAAGAGTGATTATCAATAGTGCATTGCTAGTTAGGTAAGGACACTTACATTGGGCATTACTGTGGTGACGATTATAGGAGGGTCATTGATGGATGGACAGTTTCGTTTCATGGAAGGTGGACGTCCTGCCTCAATCGTCGTTTGTGTCATTGTCGGTCCAATTCTGCACCGAATCACACATTCTTCATTGCCCTCTCTGGACGCACTACGAATTCTTTTCATTGGTCGATAGTCTGGAAGTGAATTAAGAGAAAAAATGATTCTATGCTAATACACTATGAGTATCTGCAAGGTTGGCAATGCATTTAGTGACCGGATAACCTTTTGCAGCCCATCCCCAAAGCAGAAGAACAGCGCCATTCCACAATCACGCAATGAGCGTCTCGTTGGACCATAGAAAACGAACTGGCAACAAAACAAGCGAATCATCCATATGTTCCCTCTCTCCCCCTCTTTTTACCTACTCTCAAAATGCAGTTTGAAGTCGAACAGATGTTTGGCGCTAATAGTCACCAACCACTGCAGAAAGAGCAGCACATGCGAGACTTCTTATGACTATCTTTCCCCTTGAAATGAGACGCCCGCTAAGCTTGCCTATTATACTGTGAATAATAACTTTCTTTTTCTGCCTATCGTGCGTACATGCTTTGTGTTTTTTTTTTGTTTGTCCACTAAAGCACAAGAGAACCACCTCATAACAAGAACTTCCACAAGCTTTCTTACATTTGGCAAAGACTCCTCCAAAACCATAAAATGGCTGTACTTTCAATGATCCCTCTACCACATGTGAAAAACCATGACGTGTTGGCAGAAACCTTTTTGCCTAAAACTGGTTCTCCCCCAGTTCTTCCGAAAAGAGGTAGGTCTTCGTAGGCTCTGATGCGGGAATTCCGCAGGGTATTGCCTCTCCCCTTTGCTCAATCTCCTAACTCTTCTTCCTAACTTCAAAAAAGAGGAGACAGGAAAAATAGCGCTGTTGGTATCCAAGAAATGAGCTACACTGGGGATCCTTTCGAAAGGCAAAAGCATGTTCTCCTCACCAGCACTCCACCGAGACACTCGAAGGCGAGGTCTGCCATTCCCTCCTCCCACACTGAGTCGATGGAACATAGAACCAGCACTCCCGAATCGACGGTCCCGACACTTGAAGGGGAAGATCCGGACTTGACTATCTCTATGAATTAATGAGACATAGAACTGAGCAGTTTGAGTGAATGCAACCAACACTATACCTGGAATCTGACCTTCCGTCATTGTCCCCCAACAACTGACCACCGCTCGACGTTGTTGATAGTATATTTGCTTTCTGAAATATCGAGTAATGAAAAGCAAGAGCTAAACGGAATCAATCTTCACCTTTTTTGGTATTCTGTAGTTCACATGCTGTTGAAGCACTGCTTGAAGTCGTATGGCCGCATTTCTAACACGTTCAAATCTCAGCTCGAGTGATTCGTTAAAGCGCTTGAAAGCGAAAGTGTATTCGGCTTCAATTTCGATTCCTACTTCGAATGCTTTGGAGGCAGAAACGAACCTTGATCTCATCAGATTGGTCATCACTACTAAGCTGACATAACATGTCATCCATCACATCCCTGACAGATAGAACATCGGGAGTGGCCATTATAACGAGGTCGGTGACCATTGCCAACAGGTCTGGAGCACGAGCCTGAAAATACTGGCGAATCACAAAACTGTCTGTGTCTAATCATGAATATTGAGCCATTCGGGAGTCTTAGAGCATATGAAAGTTAAGTAGAAGTATAAAACTCCGAAATCTGATTAAAAAAACTCGTCACGAAGGTCTTGAAAATTCTCAAAATTACTATTATTGCTATTTTTCGGCTTATAACACTTATCATTCGAGGCCCGACAAAAGTGCTAAGCACTAAAATATCGCACGATGAATTATTCTGAGAAGAGAAGTATTACGTACTTGTTGTTTTGTAACAAAATCTTAGAGATTTGTTAAAATATTTGTTCACTCCATACGGCACAGGTGGGGAGGGCGTGGCTACGTACTCACTTGAACATGACGCTTTTTGTACATATTGTCATTAAAGACAACTACCATTCTGCTCTGTGCAAGACAATGAATTACGGTACGTGATACAAGCTCGACTGCAGAAATAAAACGGCGACACCTCACCACGTGGAATTCTCTAGTGCATAACACCAACGTTTTTTTTTGTCGTGTGGGCTATTGCACGTCAAAGGCCTTTCTAGGAAAAATTCCCAAGGAAATTCTTGACGGTTTTCGCCGTGAAACTGGTAGAAATAACCCTTCTGTTGAGAGTGTGCACCTAGATTTCCCTCAGATCGCAGCTGACAACTCCTGGAGTTTTTTGGATGTCTAAAACTAATGCCCCGAGCACGAAAAATCCATTATGCACAAGAATGAGACGAACAAAAACGTTTCTGCCATTTACAGAGGAGAATATTGGCTGGAAGATGAAAGGAATGTTACTAATGAGAAAACTTGTAATGTATGAATTCTAAACGAACGTGCTAAGCGCCGAAATACAGTAAAATAATCGCTAGAAAACTTCTGAACTTTCATTTCTTGCGTGTCATTTGGAAAAAAAATTAGGAGCTTCACATCGTTATTAAACATTCAGGCATCTGTTTCAACTAAAACCCAAAACCAATACAAAATATCTGAAGGAAAATTGAAAGAGCAAATAAAAAGGCGGAGACCCTGCAAAGCCCGAAAAAGGATAAGGTAGGAAGAGTTAGTTCTGCTTAGGTCCGAACTTACGTTGATTGCCTCAGCGCAAGACTGCATTGCAAGCAAAGAGCGAATGATGCAGTGCTTCAATTCCAGATCCTCACGGGTCAAAAATTGAAAGTTTGACATCCGTAACCAGGATTTAAAAATACTAGGCAGTCCATTAGCAACAAATATATGTTGTAGCGAAGTATCCTAAAGAAATAAACATTTTCTGTCAAGCAAAGACGTCGGAAGTGGTGAAATATGAGTGATATAGAAAAGACACACTTACGACTGAGCTTATGGCTTCGACTATGCGACACATTGATTGCACTACTCCTTTTTCGGTTTTTATAAGTGACATTTCTGCCTGAAACAGAACATATCATAAACAAAGAGAAAAAGCTAACCAACTGAGGATAAAAGCATTTTCGAAGCAGTTTCAGCAGATGGAGCATATTACCATTAGTTTGATCCATCCTAATACATGAGTTTTGTTTCGACATCCTGTTTCGAGAGCCTTGCCCAGCCTCTTTTGAATCTCAGCTACTGTGACATTATCGTAGCTGCTATAGCGATGAGTTTTCTTACGTCGAATAACAACTTGTTCATTGAGCTGGAAAAGGCAGCAGGTAAAGGAAAAGACCAAGATTAGCATTGTAAGCACCAGTTGTAGAAAAAGGATGTGAGTACCTTGACATCGTCATCGCCACTCTCTTCAGTTTCATCACTAGGGGACTCGATTTCCTCTTCTAGCGTGTCATCATCAAACGTCTCAGGGGGTTTACCGATCCAACCAGTACAGGAAGCTGTGCCACAAAAACAGCGCTGTGCTTCACGACTGGAACTCACCTCTTGAGGAACAATACTAGGAACAATCAAACAAGAATAACAAAACGGCCCACCCATAATTCTCGAACTGGTAGTCAAAAGTGATCTCCTCGCCTAGTTCGATGTCGCGTTTCGCAAAAAATCCTATTCTGTCGATAGCACATGGTGTACGTGGGACGTACCACTACAATACCAGCAAATATTCCATCTTGTCACCGAATTGAAATATCATAATCAAACTTTTTCGCAAACTGCATTCGGTTCACAAGAGTGATTCATAAAGCGAGAACAGTTTCCCTTTTTTGTTGCATCAATAATCATGGATCCAATTTCGAACATGTAGTGATGGGTATGCGAAGGATCTCGTCCGTACCTGGAATTCCGTAATCGCGTTCCGCTTTATTGTGCCAGAGAGGTGGCCAAATGGATTTCTTCAGTGAACTTGGCCTCTTTTCTAGATCGTCGTCCTCAAAAGCCAATCCACCACAGAATGAGCAGAACTACGCTTAATGTGATAGCTGCTTTGGTAGATTATCTATGAAGTAAGATTTTCCTAATTACAATCAACACGTTGCTCACAAGTCAATCACGGAAGGGCGTTGCTCCGCTCATGCGGTGGTGGACTGGCCTCTAGATGGCGACCCCATCGAAATGTTACACCAAATTTAATAAAGTCCCTTCTAACGACTTCTTCGGCACCATAGAACGAAACCTGCAGAGTTCACATTAATGGCAGCTTTACGAGGAGAGAAGTTGGACACTAGTAAACACTATTTATCCATTTATTTCCATCTATTCTATCGAATTCTCCTTGTTTCGCGAAGTTCAGGTCTCAATCTGATCGAATCGAAATTTTCTCTAGACTGAAGTCAGCCGGAATTCTGCCCCAGAAATTCCGAAACCGCCTCGCGCTCGCACCACAGGCGCTAGCGCTACAACACCTAGAAGCACTAAAGCTAAGAACTTGTCCCAAGAAGTAGTTTGACCCTCCAAATAAGAGTATACTTTTGCTTGACATGATCGAGTTGTGCGCTCACTACGGATGCTGGAGCCTCAATATTAAATGTCCTTTGACACCAGCTCACATTGGGCGAGGCTTCCAGCGATACTCGCGTTCAGGCGACAGAACACCTTCGGGAGCAGTGCTCTGCCACCTGAGCACGAAAACAATATCTGTAGCGCGGGACCGTGAATGGTAAACGATGTCTGAAAGAAAAAACAAAGGAGAAAACCAAGCTGACAATTTAATACCATTGCACCCAAATATGCATTCATGGTCGATCATTCATTCACAGCGCACGGCTTCGTACAAGAAAAACCAAGGCACTGGAGCCACTCGAAACAACCATGAATCAATCTTATAATCATTAATGAGGTTGACTTGGCCCTTGATGATCTCTTCCGTGTTTCTCCGTTCAATAATATTACTCGGGGCCACCCGTACCGACTATGCTTAGTTGGCTCTAGCACAGCATCTCTCAGAGATTCGTTTTCTTACCGTCTAATTGGTCACTGGAACAACCTCAGCAATGACCTCTTCAAATTCAGGAAAGCCAGTTCGTTCAAAATAGCGTTGGCGAAAATGTTGCAAAATCGATCGTATGGTGTTGTCGATTTGCCAGAATATTCTTTTTCTTTTTGATTCCCACATATTCGCTGAATAGGTACCAAGATCCACTGGCCTTTTTGTTGTCCTCTGCACTTTCCTGACGCAATGGCCATGCCCTCAATGAACCGGTTATTTTTATAATTTTCCGTCATGGTGCATCATGCTGCCCTTTCATAGTATTCATGTTCTTAATTTGGCTAGTTTCTTTTTCGTTTCCTGTGTTCCAATGGGTCGAGGGTTGCATGGCCCCGTGGCTAATCATTTCTCCCTCTGTGACCTCGCCTTTGGCTCTTCATGATGCTACCCTCACCCCGTTTAATCGTATGGTGTGCCTGAAGCTGGGTTGTTGGGGAATACCTAACATCCAAAACCCAGCTTCAGGTATATAGGCGTGCACTAGTGCCCCTGTATGTGGTGTTATCCCTAGCACCATCCACTTGTTTAGAGTTTCGGTTACCATGCTCCTCCTGTAACCAGGGCCAGGCGTCCCTTGTTGTCTTACTACCCATACGGCAACCACAGCAACGGATTTTGCGTGTGCCTTAGTAATATTAGGGTCATTAAGTGATGTTCTCATACGAATGGGGGAGTATGTCCTGATCTAGCACTGTTCTCTATTGTTTTCTTAGTTTTATTTTTTAGCTTTTCCTGCATGTCAGTTAAGTTGTTCAACTTGTTTTACCAACGGTACCCTTTCTGTGACTGACTACAATAAAGTAAAGTAAAGTAAATCAGCAGCACCAGCTTCTATTAGGTTGGTCGAAAAGTCCTGCGACACTTTGTTCGAACTATTCTAGAAAAAGACCAAAAATCATTTTGAATGTTTTTATCTCTGATTAGTGGAGAATGTCTCCTGAGGTTTCTGAAAATGGGTATATCATGGCTCCGTGGAAGTTTTCAAAGCTTAAAATACCTCAAAGATCGAGGTATCCTCGACCTGTCTCATATTATGAGTTCCTTGTAGGGCAACTCCCCCATAGTCGAGGAAGCTAACTCTTACGTTGTCTTAAGGAAGGATATCGCTTGCCATGGCAGAGAGTTCCTTTTTGCATCAGCGCTTCCAGGCTGGACTTATTCAACTCGAAGTAGGCAATGTATAGGTAGGCCACCAGCACAGAATGACGGCCCTTTACTCAAGGTTCTTGAGGCGCAGCCGAACGTAACCACCAGTAAGTAGGCAACCTCTCTACGCTCCACCTAACTGACAACTGCCATGCTTCTCCGCAGTCTCGGTTTTTGGAAAAAATTTTTATGAAGGATGCCCATGAGTTGAACCCCTCTGACAAGTCATACCGTAATGACCGTGACTGGGTTTTTTTTCCTTGTATCACACCGGAGAAACTTTTGTGAGATCTTGTGGTTGGTAGAGAGTGGTGGGGTCCTTGCGTACATCTTGCACATGTTCCTCGCAGGATCTCTCGAACAGAAAAGTAGATTGCACAGCAAAAGCACATGTGCATGGGAAAAGATTTCAGTAGGTTATTGGGGGACTTCAAAGCGGTATCTCTGGATACTAGCATAACGGTAAGGACTACAGTCCTCTCTAACCGACCTCACAACATGGATGACGTCAAGCTTGAATTCTTCAAATTACTCAATTTTTCACTAGCGCTCGGCATTGCGAAGACCGCATGTTAAGATCAGGCCACACCAAAAGATCGTGGATCTCGATCTGAGAATGCGACCATACCCAGCTTATTCATCAAAGTTAGCAGTCTCTAACTACTACCATTTTTGATCCCTACCTCATCCTTAAGAAGGCAAAAATTCCGAAAATCAACGTCTACTCAAAAATGAGGTCCGCCTATTCTTCTTATCATAGTTGCCGTAGTTCTAGAAGAATGGAAATGAGAAGCTGTGCAAAAGAAGGGCACTAGTCCTAGTCCTTAGTGGTGATAACCTTGTCGATTGGAGATGTCTTTTAGTGACTGAAAAATTTAGTCCGAAAAATTGGTCAAAGTGTCGCAGGAATTTCGACCAACCTAATATTAGGTTGTCGCCGGAAAGTTCTCAGCGTTTTGTGCACCTATTTTTTGTACATTCACTGCTGATTAAAAACTCATTCTCCCTTGCGTTTCAGTAGTACATCCTGAAGAGAATTTCTTGCGCTATCTGATGGTATAACTGCCGTTTCGCCATTGCTTGATTAACCACCTTTTTTCGAGATTTTTTCAAGCATGTGAAAAGAGCACTTTGGACTATTTTTTTCTTCGACTATAAATTGGGGCAATCCGCAATCGAAACAGCTCAACAAATTAACCAGGTGTGGGGGCCCAATAGTGCTAGAGAAAGCACTGTGCGGCAATGGCTCAACAAATTTCGTTCTGGAGATTTCAGCCTTGAAGGAACCTCGTAGCGGTAGCGGTCGACCTAAAGCAATACCTGACGAGGATTTTAGGGGGATTTTGGAGGCTGACCCATCCCAAACAGTTCGAGAGATAGCAGAAGAGCTAGGCCTTGACAAATCCGCTGTTGCAGATGGTCTGGAACGCATTGGGAAGGCGAAAAAATTCGACAATTGGGTGCCCCACAATCGGAGTGACCGGCAGGAATCGGCACGTCTCGAGGTTCCTTCTGCATTGCTTTTGCGCAGCAGAAGCGACCCGCTTTTGGACCGAATTGTCACCTGTGATGAAAAATGGGTCATCTATGATAACAGGAGACGTTCCGGACAGTGGTTGGATTTCGACGAACCACTGAGGTAATTATCAAAGCCGAAACCTCACGAAAAAAAGATTCTGGTCACAGCTTGGTTGTCATCGGCTGGTGTGATCCACTATAATTTTTTACCACCAGGCCAAACCATCACAGCAGAACCCTTCTGTGAAGAAATCGACGAATTGTACCGAAAATTCTGTCAGATGCAGCCAACACTTATCAAAAGAAAGGGTCCGATTCTTTTGCATGACAACGCCCGCCCACACGTTTCACAAATCACTATCCATAAATTGAACGAATTGGGGGTTGGAGTTCTACCTCAACCGCCATATTCTTCAGACCTTTCGCCAACCGACTATCACCTTTTCTAAAATTTTCAGAACTCCCTTGCTGGAAAATACTTCAACAATCAGGACCAGGCAAAAAAGCCTTCGTGGATTTCGTGAATTTTCGACCACCCAGTTTTTTTACTTCGATGGGTTTTCTCGACTGCTGTCACACTGGCAAAAATGTGCTGATTCGAATGGTGCCTATTTCGATTAAATCCGATGAGTATTAAAAAGGATACGATCGTTTAAAGTGAAACACCCAAAACGCTGAGAACTTTCCGGACAACCTAATACAATAAAACTACACATTCACGTGCCAACAGACCTCTAGATGATCATGCTACTTATTCCATGAAAGTATTGGTTACTCACTCAATGCTGAAAGACTGCACTATAAAGGCATAGCTGAAGGACAGCGTTCTGGGCAAGAGCAAAATTAGCGAATTTTAGGAAAAGTGCGCTGACTACTTCCAGTCACAAACACATCACATGGAACGATGAAGCCGCTAAAGAAAGTTGAGAAGCGCATATAATTAGCCGTTAGCCGCAGCTATACAAATTAGGTATTACGAGTATTACAACAATATCTATAAGAATAGTGGAGGTAACTTTGAACAGCGCACTCTCTGTAGATTACGAAGTACCATTTTGCAATAAAATGATGAAGGATAAAGTCTTCGCCGTTGATCAAACACCTGGTACCAATTTACTGTCCCCGGGATAGAAGGCTTGGTTGGTCTAGAGAGGACCCTGGATTTGAACCCAGGGTAGCGCGAGTGGTGAGTGCGCCACTTGTCTACACCACCTACCATCCCATTTTTACACACATTTACACATTTTGCAATATAATTTTAAAAATAATCTGCGAATCAAAGAAACACAAATTAATGATTGGATGTAAATAACATCGAAACTATAGAGCAGTACCTCCTTAATCGCTTTGCAAATTCCTCGGAAGAAACCACCTCTCCAACGTATTCAATGATGAACTGGCCTCTGCAATCAAAGCATAATGGTAAATCAAGCTTAGCAAATAAGAAGGTTTTAAAACTAACTTCTTTATAGGAGCTACAGCTTGAACACCAAATCCCTTATTTGGCCCAGTGTAAAAGGCTTGCACGGCGGCGTATTCTCTCTAAATAGGCCACCAAAATAGTGAGCTATGGGAGCAATTTACCAGTGGGAATTTTCAAAAGTCAACAGGATGTACATCCAAAAGGAACTTTCACATCGAGTTTACTCTGACAAGGCTAAAGCTTCAGAGCACCAACTCACTAGATGTGCATATTATTGGAATATACCTTGGCAAACCGTCTGTTTCTACAATCTCTGCCTTTTCCCAGGCAATTTTTCGGACATTCGGTGAACATGGCTCTGTTGTCGCAGCTACTGTCAGAGCAGTCCAGATTGTTGCCTCGACAGAAACACCTGAAGCTTACCTTGCCTAATTTTAAAAAATTCAGGAAAATTGAGAATAAGCATTGGTTAAACTGGAGAAAAAAAACAACTAACATAAGAGACATGGCCTTCTTCTTGTTATCTACTTTGTAGATACACTGCTCGATTTCTTCATACGTTGGTACTGGGGGAACCTCTACTGATGAAGATGGAAGTTCACAGCCCATGCCCTCTTTCTCACTTTCCCCCGAACGCGTTTCTCTCTGAAATGATTTAGTCTAATCACCTCGAAGTTACTCATAACGGGCTTATGAATACTTGCCAAGGATGAACTCTGCGGAAGATCACCGCTTGTTTCTGCCAAAACTGGAGAATCGCTCGGAGTGGATGGTCCACGATGGGTAAAGTGGTCACTGCTACGAATTACAGAATTCTGTTCTGATGGATTCTGCAAAGATTACAAAGCCAGAGCATTTTTCATCCATAAAGAGCACAAATGATGTTGCTGAACTCACTTCTGCCACCGATGATACTTCCGAAGTTGTTGAGACAACATTTGACTGAAAAAGAGTGTGTTGGTGGCCAACCCTCATTGATAGGCAGCAATTAATACGCTTTCGAGAGGAAGGTTTCGAAATATCAACTGACCAATGTGTGTTCCAAAGCAGCAGCTGCAGCAGCCTCATTTGCTTTCCGAGCTTTCTCTTCGAGGCGCTTCCGTTCGAAATCTTTCATGAGAGCTTGTATTTTCTCCTCAATGCGTCTTTTCTCCTCATATCTGGATAGAAAGTCATGCGACGAACGTACGTCCACTTCTGCTTCATCCCCAGAAGAGACCTCCATGTCAACCTAAAATCATCCTAAAGGATATCGAGAATAGTAATGCACGTTATTCAACTCCATCACATCGCCTGATACAACAACGAAGGCATCAACATATGATGCAAACCTCATAAATTTAGAACACATAGAACACATGCCCTGAGATGCGGTAGACTCGGTTACGCTTGGTCGCGTAGTTTTCTGAACTTGGTGGCGGTTGCGCTTCCAGTGGAATATTTTCATTTTGGAACGGTTGCACAGTCTAGTTCGCAACGGATGAAGGGGTGTGTTAAGCGAGATGGCTTTGGCGCAGCGAAAACTCGTTTTCCACCAGTTGAAGCAAGCGAGCGACAGAGCTGTATCATGTTGGCAGTTTCGATTGTCGTCGCTTTCCCGCTCTAACAATTTGTTGTGAATGGGTATGGCGCTGCACCGAACCTATCCCGCCTGGCACTCTTCTTCATCCGACAAGACAAGACAAGACACAGACAACAAGACTTTGATCCTATCTTTGCTGAGCGCAAGACAAGTTCACATGTTGGGATGTCTCATAATTAAGCCTTCCTACAGCACAGGCAACTAAAATACGCAGCTACACCTACTGAACTCAAACTCAACTCTAAGCGATGTGGTGTTTATTTGACAAATGCGAATGCTGACTAAGCGAGTTTTAACCTTCGCGACAGTTCAAATGGCAAATACGATACCTTGAGGGGAGTCCTTATAACCACAACACGAGACTGACTTTTTCAGTGAAAAATCCTATTAAATACAATGAGCTGAGTTTGTCTTTGGGTGTGTGTTTGACCGGAAAATCATATCATAATTGAGTAGTCTCCGATAGTTCAGATCGATAAAAGAAGAAGAAATGCGAAGAGGTCATTTCTGGTAAGTGATAACAGCTGATAGAAGCTGATAAGGTGCTGAGGGGGGAAAGCTGTCATCGAGCTCGTAATAAGAACCGCATCAACAGGAGGAACTGATACTTTATAACTGAACCGAAGAAAATATGACATCCCAGTGGCAATATTCGTTAAAGTATTTCCACGGGAAGATTGATCTGTATGGACCTGTCTTAACCGATCAAAGCAGTTGAACAGTTTAAGACGTGTCCAAACACAAAATGGGTAAGACAAGAAAAATGAGAACATTTCCTAAGATATTTATTTATTTACCAGTCGGATCGCCCGGCTATCGCCGGGCGCTCCTCCTTCTGTGACATGGCCCGGCTTCGCCGGACCATGCGGATTTGCCGCGTGCTAAGTTAAGGATCGCTGACCAACCACACTGTTCAAAGGAACGTTCTGCATCAGCCAAGAAAAAAGCAGCGCTTGTTCCGTCAAGGCGCAGAAGCAGCAGCAGGCCCCCCCCCCCCCCGCCTATCACAGAAGGAGGAAAGCCGGCCTTAGCCAGCGATCCGACTGGTACGTTCATAACCTACACGGAAATAGTGCAGCCTGTTTATACGGCCACTGAAGCAGCCTATAATTTATGCAATCTGTCTTCCTAACGCGTCTTGCTTTGGAATGCTCTACCGCATTCAGCAGTGGAACCCTTTAAATGACCCTCACTAAAGTTGCTGATGGAAGATAATTGTGGATAGAGAGATAAAGTCAGTTGCTGCTGTTCATAACATCTATGTAAACAAACCACATGCATTTGGAATAGAGCTGGCTTAGCGGTCGTACACGATGGCGTTACTAATAAGCAGTGAGGAATGAGTTCTGTTGGAATCACTGAGATGTTATACTTGAGTCATATCGATCGCAGTGTTGTTGTGAGCGTGAAAGCGGTTTTCCCATGCTACCTTGTCAATTTTAGCTCCTATCACATCCGTACCCGCCAATAACACTCCGTCCCCTATCAATATCCTATCACCCTGTACCGCCTCTCGGATCAACCGGTCCCACTGTTGCTGTAAGCTGCGTTACGAATCTGATGACCCTCCCCTTCCGAGGCCGCTTACCGTATCTTATCAACTGTTATCACTTTCTGTCGCCCGCCATACTGTTCCCTTCCCACACCCTATATCACCTCACGGGATCGAGTTCCCACTGTTGCTGTAACCTGCGCCACGAATTTGATGGCCCTCCTCTTCCGGAGGCCCTTATCGGATCTTATCAAACTGTTATCAGCTTCTGCCCGCCCCCAACGCCTACGGCGTAACAGTACTTGAAATCATGGCCGCCATTGCTGCAACTTGCCACGAATTCGGTTCACCCTACCCTTCTAAGGCCCCTTATCTGAATCTTATCAAGTGGTATCACCTCCTGTCACCCACAAAAGTGTTCCCGTCCTGCATGTATATCACTTCTTGAATATCACGGTCTGCAGCTGCTGCAAATTGCGCTACGATTTCGGTCACCCCCCCCCCTTCTAAGGCCCCTTATCGAATCTTATCAAGTGTCATCACCTCCTGTCACCCATCAAAAGTGTTCCCGTCCTGCCATGTATATCACTCCTTAAAATCACGGTCCCACCACCTGCTTGCAACTTGCGCTACGAATTCAGTCACCCTCCCCTTCTTACGGCCCCTTATCGTATCTTATCAAAGTAATCACCTCCTGACACCCACCACAAGTGTTCGTCCTGCCATGTATATCACTTCTTGGAACTGTCATCCTATCTTTTCTGCGACGTCGCTATGAATTTTCGACACTACACACAGACACACACACACACACGTCACACAGCACAACACACACACACACACAAGACACACACACAGACACACATAGCGGATTATATACTATATAGGATTTCCATACACTCGAGGTGTGCCCACAAAAACTGTAAAAAAACACACCGTGAAAGGACCATGGAAGAAACTGTAGATGGGCTGGACGCATTAACGCAACCATGAACCTGACATCCATCCGATAACAAACACTAGTCCTGGAGGCCGGGGTCTAATCCCCTTTATGACGGACCGACAATGCAGAACCTTTAATTTACGCACTCAGTAGATTCCTGAACCAGTTATCCGAGGAACCCAGGGGCATTTATTTCCTTTACCCATTAATACACTGAACCCCATTTTTTTTGCAATGCCTGGAACTGCATTCTTGCTGCGAACAGGGTAGAGAGACATAGAAGAAGACACTGAGTACCTTAGTAGATATAGTCTATAACGATGCGACATAGGATGATGTGATGAGTCCGGGTCATACGTATCAACCTAGCGCTTCGAGAGTCTACCAGCCAACGATGGAGTGGTACCTACTCTTTACGGGTCACTCCAAAGCTAAAAACGCTGGAAATACTGACAGACGCTGAAAACGCTGTCGCAAAGTACAAACGCACTCTTATGTGGCTGTGTCACATCTTGTGAGTGACACAGGAGAATCGCGGAATAGGGAGCATAACAGCGTCTGCGAAAAGAAAAGTACTTCTATCGATCTGGGGGACTGGCAAGTCACAGAATGTACGAAAAAGATTAGTTACGCATCTACTGAGCGGCCAGTCCCAAAGTCTCCGAAACTCCACTTCTTAGATTCTCTAGCTGGACGAAATCAGTCGCTATGCCCTTAGGCCTCTCGGCGCGGTCTCTGTTTCTTCGATTCGCCAGTGTCGCAGGGCATGAATGCAGCCTGACCTTTCTCTAAACGGAACCTACCTTAATTAGTCACCATGCCTTGCAAGGATGAATGAAAAATCCCCCGTGTAACTCTAACGTCTGACCTGATCTAATTCTTCCCTTGAGGTGAGAGACTCGTGAAGGTTGCTACACTGCAATAGGAGGCAGACCCAGGTTGCTGAAGAAGGTGCTAAGCACCGAAATACTCGAAAACGAACCAGGAACTTTTGAGAGATTCTAGTTCTTGTGAAATAAACATTTTGGGAGCTTATCTGTGTTATTCGCAGCATTTAAAAGAGGACATTGTAGTATCAAAAAGATAAAAACTGTACTCACCTCTTCTCTATCCAGACCAGGAGAAAAACTCGTAGAAGGTTCTACTATGGAAACTGCGTCTTTCTGCAAAAGGTAGTGGAAGTTTTTTTGTCATTCAATTTATCATTTCAGTACATCTTAATCGTCAGATGGCTAGAATCACATGGCGCAAAATCCTCGAGCTTGTTAAAGTTTAGCTCATGAACTTGGACGACGCAATAGTACTGCAGACCGCAATCACCTCTACGAACCTCATCGTCAGGGAACATCATAGTTGGGGATTTTGGTGGAGTCTGCACGACCCCGCTTATTTTGAGGGTTGGTTCGTCCCCCTCCCCTGGTTCCCTCCCCATCGAGCTGTTTAGCGAGAGGGCGAATATTCCCTAGATTCCCCTCAACTTGCTTCACTTTTTCCGAAATTCCTTGAAAATTTTCCTTTCACCTAAGAAGCTTTTTACCCAAAATTTTGTGTCGAGCGGGGAGGGGAGGGGAGGGGGAGTACTTACATTCTATAAACCACTAACTCTGTGTGTCGGTTTGTCGGTATGTATGTATGTATGTATGTATGTATGTCTGTCCGTCCGCAAAATGCTTCACGAGTTCAAACACGTCATTGTAGGAGAGTATACGACCGCTAGCCGGTGGCGAAGCCAGTTCGTGCAGATGTAACAATCCAATGTTTTGATTGTGATAACACCCTGCACTATATAAGAGAACCATGTAGTGCCCTCCAAACCATTGCAGGAGCTGCTCGCGTGGCAGGTGGACGTGAGCACGTTTAGCGGCTGGGATGGGGAGTGGATGGGGTAAGTGGGAGTGGGGAGGGTACAATGTGGGTGGGTGGGATTAGTGAGGGAGAGTGCGGGAGGGGAAGCATAGAGTGCGTTTAGAAACTCATCACGAGTGTGATAATGAATCAAAGCGTGAATAGAGGAAGGATCAACCGAAAGCAGAGTCGGAAATAAAATCCATTTAGTTTTAGTATCACTTTGAGGCAATGTGTGATTGTTTACAATCTCACTATATAAAAGAATCGTAGTGCACTCGTATGAACATATTGGTCAAAGATTATTGACTATCTGTATAAAAGAAAAGCCGGTGAGGAGAAGGATAAGTGCAACGGAGCCGGGCCCGCTCAGCAAATCCATTCTTTACCTCAGAAGAAGGCGTGCAGGCATCAGCCGGCAAAGCCGGCTGGTGTAGTATATAAAATACATGAAAGAGGAAAAACCATGAAAAGTCAGCAACTTCTTTGAGAAGGTCCAAAGTGAAATGCGACCCCCCCCCCTTGTTGGGTAATTCCCAACAACGATGTGCCCTGCTCATCGTCAGATCATCGTGAGATCTGTTACGCGTTAGCACATGTCGTTTGACGATCCTCCATGATGTCTAATTGAACGTGTTATGACTGTCAATGAAAACGAGATCGAGTCTTTTTTTTCGGACATAGGTCTCTTATAGGCCATTTCTTCCATTTCTCTTCTGTTAGACATCAATTCATTCAGGTACGATTGCTATTTTTCCTTTGTAATTTACCTGAGCTTTTTGTAAAGTGACCTTACAAAATATCCTATGTGCACAGTTTTGTTCGCTATGGATGATGGGGCGTGCCACTGTGGCTGCGCTCGGAGTGCCAGCGACTCGTTTTCCTTTACCTGCTGACGCGACTGAACGACAATGGTGGGAAACGACTAATACGAGCAAAATGGTACAGTCTTATCGCTGACTGAAAAAAATAGGAAGAACGAGTTGGCGTCGTGCTAAAGGCAGCAGAATAATCCGCCGTGAACATAAATGTATGACCATGCGATGATGTACCATGAGAGTATGGACGATTATGACCCCGCAGTACTATAATGCCCTACAGAAAAATGTAAGAAACTCACTTCTATGTTAGCGACGTCAGCTCTGGAGTTTTCATCTTCCACATCAGTGCCTAATCGTAGAATCGTGTCAGCTTCAACCACAGACACATCTACTGAGCAATCCTACAAAAATTGCACAGCGTTAATAACACATGAAAAGAACATTTGCATCTACATATTTAAGATTTCTCTAGCCTTATGACCTTATCACTGGGATGCATAAGGTGAAAAACTCTACACCATTATGGAGCAAAATAACTAGGTAACAAACTGCTCCCTAACAAACACGATTCACGACTTATACACGCAGACACTCATAGCACGGACTGGAATTGACACCCAGCAAACTCCCCGACTTCTAGGTCCCCCAACATACACACCATCCACTTGATTCTACCTGTTTGAAGTCGATTACATAAAACTCGACCCATCCAACTGAATGACGCCAAAATAAGTTTAAAAAGCCGTCTTCTACGGAACAATGGAGCATATCCTTCAGGAACGCTGCCGGCTCAAACACGGTTAACTGCTTTATGGACGCACTTCGAAACGCCTTCTCTCAATGAGCTTTGAGACTTGACTATCCCGAACTATTAGACTACCCGTCAGCGATAAGGGAGGATAGTTCGTGGTAACTCCTTGCCAGCTTGATCAAGAAATGACAATGGGACATCTCGGAATCGCAATTCCGCAAACTGAATCGGGCATGGGTGAGGGTGGCGGGATCAGCAGGATTTCACTCCAACTTGATTAAACGCTTCAAGCTTGACACATCTTGTTGTCCCGTTCTATATCTGTTTATGAAAACACACAAGTTCTCGGCTGCGGAAATATGACAACTAATTAAAATCAAATTAGACCTGCGACGGGTTAAAGTTAGACCAATCATTAGCTGTGTAGGAGGACCTACTGATAGGATCGCGTCGTTCCTCAACAATATTGTGACAGAGTTGCTTCGATATATACCGTCACACCTCTCCAGCACTCAGATGTTCCTGAACCACCTCGCTAGAGCGTATCCGAACAGCTCCAGCGTGATTGAGCCATTTGACGTGGAAACCCTCCACACGAATGTCAGTAACAGTGCTGCTTAGAGGCCCTCTTTCAGCTCCTCGATCAGCACCGTGATACGGTTAATATGCATGGGCTTTCCACAGATCAGCTAATGATGCCACTCAAAGAATGTCTCAGCAGTAACATCTTCAGATGGTCTGGAATGTACTTCGAGCAGATTAGGGGCTTAGCTGTGGGACAACGACTGGCGCCCACTTTAGCCATTGCTTTCATGGCTAAAATCGAAGCGCCTGTTTTGGATCAAGTCCCATTGCTTTATTGCTGATACACTGATGACTGTTTCGTAATTTGTTCCACACAAGAGGAAATGGACCACTATTTCATCGTAATGAACGAGCCAGTCCGAACATATAAGGCTAACGCGTGAGAAGCCGGTCAATGACTCCCGTTTCTCAATGTCCAGACTAAGCTTGAGGGGTCCACTTATCTCACCAGGTGGTATAGAAAACCCAGCAACAAAAACATCATCGTCCATTTTCGATTAGCCCACCCACTTCAGTCTAGGCTATCGTCAGAATGTTCCGGACCGCCGCAAATGTCTGTACGGGAGCGTGTTAAAGAAAAGAGTCACTAAAGTGGCACGTGAGATTGCTGAGCAGAATGGCTACCACCTCCCCTCGGCTATGCGTAGAGCTAGAACAGATGTTGCTGCCAGTACACCAGGTAACCCATTGATGGACAAAATACAATTCACGGTACCTTTCATCTCCGATGAAGTAAGCACTTCCATAAAGAAATGCCTGAGGAGATCGGATCTACAGAATATTGTAGATTCAGTGAAGATTCCTCCCAATAACCTAAAACATCGCCTAGTTCGAAACCGCCTTCTACGACCGACATGTGGAACCCCTGATTGTGCAGTTTGCCCTGCTGGCAGAGAAGGAGACTGCACAGTCGCAGGTGTGGTCTACGTCTCCTGTCTAACTTGTGGAGATGAATACATTGGTGAAACGGCTAGGCCACTCCATGTGCGGACCAAGAAGCATCTGGATGGAAAGTCTAGACTGCGCGTGTCAACCCGATTAATGTCACAGGGTAAAAGACCACAACGGAGACGATTTTGAAGTCACGGTAGAGGTTTCAGAGCGCGAAGATCAACTTCCCGCGCGAAAAACTCTCCAAGATTCTGGATTCAGATCAGGAATCCAAGAACGAACCGAAGGGGAGAACGTATTAATCACATGAGAGCTATCTCCCTATATAAGATTAGCATTTTAACGGCTCTGGATAGTCTTAGTTCGAAAACTTCCATCACCGGGGCTCGTCGTTTGATTCGGTGGATCCGGTTGAGGTACATTAGGTGTTCCACTCGTATTACGTGCTCGGCTTGGTGGGGTCGAAAGGGTAAGGAGTGCGTTTGATGCTAGTTCGGATATCCTAATTCGGCTTTATCCTTTCAGGCTCCGAAGAAGGCGAAACCGCCGGAACGTCAGCCGATAAAAGTTTGTAACAACCTCATCTAACAGTTCAAAAGACGTTATAATAACATATAAAACTCATGCCGAGGCTTATAGAAATTCAGACATTGGAGCACTTCAAAACGATTCGCGTAACATTGAAAGACCCAATACTCCCTTGTTTTCCTCAACGTGTGCTCTGAATTTGGTATCCACGGCTTCAGGTAAGTCAAGACTCATAGTTTAGCCTCGGACCGATGGTGGCTAAAAGAACAAAATGGGGCCCCCACAGCGAATGTCATCACAGGATTCACGCGCTAGAACAAAGTCGAAACTCATGTGCGTCAAACAGGGATGGGGTTAGGACATAGTTGAGGGAAAACCTTCGCCCCTTTTTCTGTATCTCTATCCGAACCTGATTAGGGTAAGAGACGCTAGCAAGTGGCCCTCCTTAACTAGACGTTATTACAAGCTCCTAGGCCCTGAAAAGGAGACCGCACTTGAACTTTTCTGGATAAAAAAGTTAAACGTACTCTATTTGCGCTCAAGTCGTTTGAAGCGGAGTCTTGAGACGACGTTCGGACTTCTTCAGATCTTTTGCAGGGATATGGCGACTAAATCAAAACATGTGTCGGTAAGAATAATGTGGCAAACAGGAAAGACGTCATACATTCTCAGCACTGTCTTGTGAAAGCTGAGAGTCCGAACAAGATCCGTCAGTGAATACGAGTTGAGGGGGAGACTCCTCATCCTTAAACAACTGTTTACATTTATTGAACGCAGTGTATGAAGTGTATGAAACGTTTATATTTTTCCATTTCTTGAACGATTCCTCCGAAAACCAAAGCCTACCTCTTCTGAGCTTTGCCTAGCTACTTATAGTTCATCCAGCCCACGTCGGAGCCTGCGAAGGTATCAGGCAAGGCAATAGTTGGTGCGGTTTTTTCCCCTACCTTTTTTTTCTCTACCTTTATACAGTTGAGTTGAGAAGCGCATGTAATTATTATTATTATTGAAATAGTATATTCAGTAAACTGGTTTTAGTGGTAGGGTAACTTTGAATACATGTTGTGAAATATGTCAAGGAGTGTCATTCAGGGTATTTGTTAATTTAGATTACTTTCAATTAAGGCGAACAGAAAAGGTGTGGTTTTCCACCGGGACAATGCAAGAATCATCCAGGAAACAATAGCGCGACTAGGACGGGAAATTCTACCTCATCCTCCATACTCGCCAGACCTTGCTCCAAGGGACTATCATTTGTTTTTGGCTTTGGACAACCACATGACGAATCGACGATTTGAAAATGAAGTGACTTTGGACAACGAACTAAAACATTTCTTTCATTCCCAAAAGCAAGATTTTCACAAAAATGGAATATATGCTCTTGTGTCTAGAAGGGAAAGTGTATTCCTCGCTGAGGGTAATTATTTTTCGGAATAAATCTAAGTTTAACCCGTTTTTTATATTATTATTATTTCGCTACCTTCAAAACCGCACAAACTTTTTTGGTTGCCCGATACATGGACGTGCACGTTATGTCCAAAGCAACAGGAGTGCGTTCATATTTCCTGGCAGCGTTTTCACGTCTGTCAGCTTTCTGAGCGTCTTGGGTGACTAGGAAAGCATAGGTGTCGATACAGCTTTTTAAGCGTCCGAGAGCGTTTTCAGCGTCTATGAAAGTACTGGTATCGATCTAGCATTTTAAGAGCAAACCAGCGTTCTGAGTGTCAGCGTTTTCGGCGACTGAGAAAATGTAGAAATCTACCATCTGAAAGAAAACCTGGCGGACGCCCGAAACATTAGATCGATACTAGACTTCGCTGCGGCCGGTTGGGCGTGTCTGGCGGGATGAGTTTGGCGCGGTGTCAAAACTGTTCTCCATCAGTTGTCAAAATGAGCAAGTGATACGACTGTATCACATCATTCGTATTACCCGTTTTCTACCACTTTTTGTCGCGCGCTCCATCAAGGAGAGACAGTTTGATGGCGTGACACACTCATACTGCCTGACACGCCCAACCAAGCGCAGCGAACTAGAGAGTACACACTCCTAGTCGCTGAAAAAGCGGGACGCTCAAAAGGCTGGGTCAACAAATATACTTCCCTAGTAGCTCGAGACGCTTCAAAACACTGCAGAAAAGTGTCTACACAATCTAAGGGAAGTGACTCGCCCGAACACGGCGGAATCACACGCATGCTCTGGAAGAGGGAACGCTGTGAAAAACTCAGTGCCAGCGGAAAAGACGGTCTAGGACTGAATTGAAGATCTGTACTTCCAACGCTTGCATTTCACTTAAAGAATATTTACAAGAAAAAAAAACAAATAATGTCGGACTTCTGAACCGCTATCCACATCATCGTGTCCTTCTTCATCTTCCAAGCCATTGTGGTTCAGGATGACTGCGCGTCCATCCTTTGAGGATGGTGAGCCATCCATGGCTTAAAGAATTTTCAATAGTTATCGAACATTGTGCAATAATGCGTGTGAAAGTTCCCAGAAGTCATTGTAAACAAGCTGTGCAACTTGAAACCGTAAAAATTTAAGTGGAAATAAACAATATAGTATGAAAACACATGAAGTCACAATTTCGTGAAGAAACAACAGCGGTACGTTAGCTTTTTTTACCTGTACGATCAGAAAACTGCCATGGTTCTGTAGCGCGCCCCATGAATGAAACATGTGTTTCAAAAAGTCCAAACTGGGATAATGCTATGAAGGCAGTAATGTTGTAAATTCGGAGGGGGGGGGGTGAGCAGGATTTGCGTGCTGCTCGTAATCTAAACGGATGAAAACAGCCTTGTTGGAAACTAAGAAAGTAGCATGTACTAGTGGAAAGGCAAAACTGTTTTGAACGCAAGAAAAACAAAAGAAACGAGAAGCACAACAGTGTGCGTTCACCTAACCGGAGCTACTAGTTTATTTTATGATACACAAAACATCTAGCACAAAGAAGAGTTTACTAGACATATACACACATCTTTATAAAAGTTTAGTGTACAAAAGGAGATGTATAGGAATGCAAGTAAGCAGGATCCCCCAATGACAGCAACGAGTGCGCCTGCATGGGAAAAATCGATGAAAATAACTTGCGCCAAGGCACAGAGCTCACTACGAGCAACTCAACAAACAAAAAGGTAGGGAGGTAAACATGGATCATGTCTTGGGATTCTGAACAATGCAAAATTAGCAACAAAACAAAGAAAGCGAGAGATCGATGAAAGAAGCACAAATAACATTCAGAGCAAACTACTTACAAGGTAATAAACTGCATCAAATAATGTCGGAATTTTGACGAAAAAGCAGCGGAACTAGCGAAAAAACAAGTAGAAGCAAAAAAATGTACGCTGCAATCACTTTTTGATTTGTCGTTGAGGGGGCCGCTCCTTTCCCAGTGCGCAATCGGCCGTCTGTACTGCGGACGAAGCGGCGCTAGCGGCTGTCAGCAAGGCTTTTTCCGTCTTCAGCATTTTATCGCTAGCTGCAAGAACCTGGAAAAGCATATCAAGCATGTGGGGTGCCATTCCGAGCCTAAATTAAATCGAAAAATATGGGAATCTGAGAAGAAAAAGAGAAACATAGGCAGAAATTGACTGTTTTAGCAAAAAATGATTTTGATGTCTACGCTTCATTTCATTCATTACATTGTAACGATGACGTATGCGCATCATTTATCCCTTTCCATACTCAGCGAGACAAGAACGAGCGGAACATCAAATCCCAGCCAGTTCACTTACTACAACCACTAGCTATGGAATTGGCCCGGGATATTGTGAGGCCGTGTTCAGACCCAACGCTTCAAAGAATGGATTCGAAGGATCACACACTGATAAAATTTGCTAATCCTCTGGTATGAGACAAGACAATCACAACATGTCGCGCTGGTCGGCTCGTCGCGCCACACAGGAGAAGAAGCCGCACGCAACGACGGCCTTTCTTAATCTGTACCAGCCTGTTGAATGAAATACAGGATTTCTATGTTAGATCATGTATACTGNGACCTAGCAGAGATTCATGGCTATTTTTGGACACACTGTCTGTTGTCGCCATCTACGACCTAGAAACGTCATCATCTACGAACGCGGTGTCGCCCGCGACGGCTATCAGCGTGGCAAATTACAATTACCTTGTCGCATACCCCACCCCACGGGCAAGTTGTTCTGTTCGGCAGTTCGAATATAGGGTTGGTGGAACGGGTATCGTCCGTCATGTAGCCTTGTCTACGCAAATTAATAAGAGTTTCACTGCTCCAGCTGAGACACTCAAGAACTCGCCGCGCATCATTGCAACCTCCGCGCGCGACGAAGCGACAAATCATCTCCGTTAAGCTTCGCTAGAGCAGGTCGACTCGTGATCAGTTCTGACTGCCTTAAGTTCAAACGGGATGTACGAAAATGACTAAGCACACCGAGCCTGTTTCGCAGGTTTTGTTCGAGCACGATTCAGCACCACTCAAGGATCACAGTGACGCAGCAGTGATTGACTTCGCCAACGTGGCCTGACTTAGAGAGCAGGATCTACTTAATCCAATCCTGGTTGACTATAACACAAGGAGAACGTACTGCAACATTAGGATGAGCTTTCGAGGTACACATACACCGCGTTGAACGACCTCTCAACATATTTGAGCCTAGTCTTGCGTCTACTCTGATCCTTGGAATCTGGCGATTTCCATCAGAGTAATCAGTTCAATACAGTGCTAGTAAAGAAGCCTGTTCTAACGACTGTTATTTGTATCTAGGAGATACTGCATGCCTTTCCCTGTTCAGAGGCCTGTAACTTACCTCGCAAACCAATATCGTTTTGTCTGTTCAACTGCTGGTACTCCCCTGCGCTCGAGAGAAGGATTGAATCTCCCTATCTTCGAGGTTTGCGACTCGGAAGAATATTAGAATAGAAGAAAACGGTGATTCGACGTATTAGGTTGTTGCATAAGTTCTTTCCCCCGACTTTTTCGTAAATATCTCAATAGCGAACCAACCTGAAGATTAGAGGTATGCACCATCACCATGAACTACTCGTCGCCAGCGTCAGGCAGCTTGTCGATTCCATCCTCCCAGAACGACGGGGGCTGGGATTGAAGAAGTCGTCGAGTGCCTTTTTGATCTCATCCTCTGTTTCGAACTTTTTTCCGTCCACAGAGCGCTGCAGGTGGCTGAACAGCCAGTAGTGAGAAGGAGCGAGGTCAGGGCTGTAGGAGGGCTGGGCAATCATCAGCCATCCATATTTCTCCAGCTCGGCCTGGGTCGCCTTTGCGGTGTGAAGTCGGGCGTTGTCATGGTGGAAGTAGATTTCCGCGTTCGATCCACGAGTACGGTCGACGTGATCTTTCAATTTGCGCAGCTAGGTAACATATGTGGAAGCGTCAATCGTCTGTCCCTTCTCCAGCAGCTCCCAGTACTCCTTGCCTCTTCTGGACCACCAACAGGACAGGAGAACCTTCTTGGAATGGAGGTGGGGTGGCTTCTGGCTGTTCTCCTTTGTCGACCCACTGCCGCTTCCTCACAAGGTTATCGTAGAGGACCCAATTCTCATCTCCAGTGATCATCGAGTTGAGGAAGTGGAACTTCTTGGAAAGTGAGGAGAGAAGTGCAGGTGGCCACCCTCCTCGAGAGGTCATGAGCGGACAGTTCATGTGGGACCCTCGACCAAGCTTTGCTACCTTGCCGAGCTTTTCTAGTCCACGTGCAATCATCGAATAATCATACCCGAAGGTGGTCGCCTTTTCCCTGATGGTTAGGTACGGGTTCTCCTCAACGGTGGAACGTAGTACTTCCAAGTCCAACTCCATCGGCCGACCCAAACTCGGCATCTTCGAGAGAAGAATCTCCTTCCTTGAATTTGGCGAACCAAGTCTTGCATGTGCGGTAAGAGATGACGTCCTCACCGTATGTATCAACTAGCTTGGTGTGGGCTTCCTTTGCATTCCAGCCGAAATCGTGAAGCAAAACCAGGCAGCGGCGCAGGTACATTTTGTCACATTGGAAATTATGCACATTGCGGCCTGCAAATGCAAGGTGGGTGACTGATAGCAAGTGTGATAAAAAAGTATAGAGCACACGTCACGCACACGTGATGACGATATACCAACATCCATGCAAACGAAATACGGAAGGATCGAACACGGGGGAAAAAACTTATGCAACAACCTAATATTTGAAGATTGTGCGCCAAAGAGGATATCAGCGTTAGCGGCTAGCGACTTGGGAGTGTAGGAGAATAAGTCGTTCGATTGACAGCAGCTCCTCTGGCGCGCCTTCTCCGAACACCTAGCATTGCCAGCTGTACTATTCTCCCGAGTCATAACGTATTAACGCAGCCTTGAGGATAATGCTGTTTGGAAGCTGTTTGTAGGTCTGTTTGTCACCGAACTGCATCCTTAACGAAACTGAACCACGATTGTCTCCCTACTGCTATTTACCACTGGAATCTTCCTGAGAACAAGGGAAAGATCTGCAAATGTTGGGCGGAGAATCACTATTTCTCCCAGTGGATATATGTCTCTTCCTCTATCAAGGATGAGACTTACCAGGAAGGTCGTTCAGGGTGTGCCCCGATTTTTCGAAACGGTTTATTGCACCTTGTAGGGCCTTGCCCATGAACCATAAAAGTGGGCTTCATTTTGGCTGAGCGGCCCCTGGAATGCCAAAAAAGGAGCGAAAGGTACGTCTATGTACCCCATATGAGGGACGGACGTCGAAAATAAGTGTCAAAATCGTAATCAGGACTATCGATTACCCTTATAAACAAACTTCCAGCCAAAAAATTTTTCGATCCTTGGGTTTTGGTGGACCATTTATTTGATCGGCAGCGATTACCGGAGTATCCCATCTTCGTAAAGATGATGATGGAACGACGACGTAGCAGTCCGCCGGGCAGGACAGCAAACCTGGTGGAATGCCTCCCTTTCCTTTCACTTTGCATGAATTTCATCGGCTTGTTACTTTCATGTTTGGATATGAATAAAACAGGGGTCCTTATGGCGAGGCACTGTAGACTTCTATAGAAAGACTGTCGGGCACAACCCAACGCACATATCCAAAAAAGGTGGAAAAAAATTTTTGGCCGGAAGATTGTTTACAGGGGTAATCGATGGCCCCGATCATGATTTTCACACTTTTTTCGGCGCCGACGTAATTTGGCGCCTGGGTAGCGCTACACATACATTACTTGTGTGTAGCAAACGCAATCATTGGGAGAAACATGTCGCTCCATATTAGCGATAAATGGCACCGTAGCTACAAACAAGTCCCATATTCGTGATTCGGGCATGGTCTGACCTATAAAGGTCAACTTTCAATTACGGGCTTGCATAATGGTATGTAAAACCTGTAATAATTGAATAGCACTGATTCACGAAGCGTTCCCATTTAAAATGGGCCCATAAATGGCAGTTATCGAACGCATACTCACGCACAGACATAGCGAAAACAGCAAAACATGAAAAATGCAAAACTCGCACGCCGAGGGAGTCGAACCATCAACCCCACACCAACTGTCCGCTTAAGAATCCTTCACGCTATCCACTAGGCCATCCAATCGTTGTTGCTGAACATTCCTCCGATCGTTGAAGAAACCATCCATGAAGCCGTTCACGCTTGATAAAGTGCCACAAGTAAGACCCCATACCCCGACTGCTTTTCTCTTCGATCCCGATAGTACCTTTATAGGGTCCCTCCATTTAGCAACTGGTCAAAGTTTCAAGCGCTTTACAGCTCGTAGAGGCTCAAAAACAATGAGTTTCCATAGGTTTCTTTTTCGTTCCTTTTTTTGGCATTTCAGGGGCCGCTCAGCCAATACGAGGCCCACTTTTATGGTTCATGGGCAAGGTCCTACAAAGTGCAATAAACGTTTCGAGGAAGCGGGGCANACCCTGAACGACCTCCCTTGTTAGTAGAGGCAATGTCGTTTTGCGAGACTATCCCTCGCGATAGCGATCGCCGTGTTCTAAGCCTGAACTATGATTTAGAGAAGGGACACAGAACCATTGGTCCCCTCAAGTGGCACAGTACAGAACATGATCAGATCTGTATTGGAAGAGCACTCTCACCTTTAGATGTTGTCCTCCATCGGCCTGTAGTATTATATCAGTCCCAACTGTTCGAAGCCATTTGCCGGTGAATAACGAATTACCGATCTGAACTGCAACTCAGATATTCACAATAGTCGTCACACTCTTACCGTAACTGGTTAGCGAGAATTGTACCAGTACTGATGAAAACACACGTGTAAGTTCTTGTAGGAAGTATATTGTTAACTTGAGGAGACAGAAGGTATTAAGGCGCATTGAAGTCCAAGGTTCATCTACCATTGACGCTTAGAAATCGGGAAAAGTGTCTTTCATTTGATCTTCCTGCTACAATAACGATGCAAAATGATCTGCTGATCTACTCCAAAATGCTATTTTACAAATTTTTCCTTGGAATTTCGTCTTGAATCGCTAATCATGTTCACCTATAACGTGAACAAGCAACAGGTAAAGGTTACAGGAGAACCGCAGACCCAATTCATAGCTGTCCTTTTTTGTACAAGCAGTCGGATCCTATTATCTGAGACTGTCCCACTTTCGTGGCTTCTCACCAAGAGCACAGGGCGTTGCGTTCCTCATAAGTGGCAGTTCTGATGCCTCTCTAGTTGGCCCGCTCAGCAAAACTCAAACTCTATCTCCTACGAAGTTGGTTCATACTGCTCTGCGCTTTTTTTCATTGTTACGTGGCGTCAACACTGGATGACCCGACGAAACGTTTAGTGAGCCACAAGCGCCCGAAAGTCATTTTGTTAGCATAAGGCGCGCAGATTCGGAGAACTCGTACAATGAGGCTGCCAGCAGCCCTTACTTAAAGTGTTCGCATTTTTTTTCTGCTTTTTGCTCCCTTTGGGTGGAGGGAAGACTTAGCGACTAACGGGTTCGTTACTGAACGCCAATACCCACGCTATGCAGTCACGCGGTTTGTCTTTACCCGTAACACAGAAGCTGAAAACCCTTGAGGCAACCCACCTGCAAGAGCGGAGTTTCCGTCTCAGGTCGTCGAAGAGTTGTCTGCTTGGCAGCAATAGATTGTCGAATGGACCGCGCGTCCAATACACCGTTAACTTCAACTACGACCACTTCGGTTTCCCATTCATCATCACTCTTCACCTCTGGCATCTGCTTTTTGTACGAGTTTTTACTAAATCTCAATCCAGTGTCAGTCTAGTTGTTGCCTAAGGAGGTGAGAATATCAGAAAGCGATATTTTTGGACATCCACCCAAAGAAGAACAGGTACAAAAAATATTCCTTTATTGCAATCAGCATCATATATGAACCCATAACTGAATAAATAGCTGAAGAGTTATCACAGCTTCCTTACCTTATGCAAAGAACACAGAAGCATAATAAGTACCACCACAAAAAACTTGTTATTGGATCACATAATAGAAAAAGAGTAAATAAATATTGAATAGGTAAAGACAATAAAGGTGAATGTCTTGATGTCGTTTCAGGTAGTAGAATCTGTGGCCTTTCTAATGAGTTCCATCATTTTTGGATAATGTGGTACATACTCCGTTTCATGTCGATTGATCACAGTAGTCGTGTAAGATGTCAACAAACCACTGAGGAATGAAATTATTTCGAGATCCGTGTGATCGCAGCACCATTTTACGTATTGGTCAACCTTAAACCAAAAATAATTGGAAGGAATTCACAGTAGATCAGACCGCACATGAAGACGAGCATAAATGGTGGTTGATCGTGATTTTCCTGTTCCATACTATATATACCCCCCCCCGCTCGAAACAATTTTTTTGGGAAAAAGTAGGAAGTTTTCAGGAAATTTTGGAAAAAGTGGTAGGGAGTGGGGGAAAATCTGAGAAGTGGTAGAAGGGGGCGGGTCGTATTGTATCGCGGCTTTTCGTGTTTCTCATGTGCTATTTACCCTCTGCTCGACGGCTCGACTAGATGAGGGGGTACAGGGGGCCGGAGGGGGGGGGGGAGGTCGTGCGAACCCGAATAAAATCCTCAACCAATGATGTGCCCTGTCATTGATGATCAACGCTCAAAAAAATTCCAGAGATGCCGCAACGAAAGCAAAAACTTCCAAGAAGATCAACAAAAAAACGTCTCTAACATTCACACACACTTATTCAATATCAGCAATATCCAGCGGATGGAAATTGGAAGCACCTAAGTGTCTAAGTGGGCGGACATGCGCACAGGTGAGCGGGGCCAAACTCAGAGGAAAGAATTTCATCTCTCCTTCCTATATGACTTGTAGACACGGAAATAAGAGAACAACTCATGAATCGGTTCCAGACCACCCAAGAGAACGGAAAAATGAACAAAGTAGCGCAGGAAATTGGCTATTTACATGAGAGAGACACTCCCATTGTGGGCGGTGCATGTGCCGAGGTGGGCGGAGCAAAAGCCTGAATGACGGCCCATCAGAACGCGTTAAGGCTAGACGGTGAGCCAACTACTAAACCACTGAAGGAACAACTACTTGGCAGAAAACAAGGGAGCACTAGGTATAACATCAGTGACCTCGTTCATTACCCATTCGACTTGATAACGGCCTCATGTGGCCTTGTTCTACGCAACGTTAACCCCCTATTTGTCTTTTCCAAACTGTTATTTGCACTACATACCGCCTCGAAGAATTACATCATGTCCTGAAAGCATCTAATGATCTAACATAATAACTGAAAAATGAAAGGAATTTTAGGTCGTCACCATCGCTTTTCATTTTCTTCTTTTGCTTGCACTCAAGAGAAGAGCTACAGGTGGGGTAGGATCCTAGAATCCTTCCTTGGTTAGTTCCGAGCTAATCTCCTTTCCACTCGCTGCCCCGACGCACTACCTCATCTATTGCAATAGATTAAGACGGGAGGAGCTGGACTCTAGTTCGTAGGTTCCGTACAACGCAGATCGCTGCGTAGTAATTTAGGTTATATACAAGTATAAAGGTGGACGATGTATAAAAGTAGAATGCGCTACGCAGTAAGACAGTGTATTTCTCTTCGGAGAAAACCTGATTCACAAGCTAGCCTAGCGCCGGAGAAATGAAACATTTGACTGGCCTCAAAGAGAGTCAACTGGTGGTTCGGTCTTCGAACATGTGACGACATAAGCGAGCGAATTTACTACAGGCTACTTACGCCTTTGAAAACACATAAAAGATAACTTTTGAGTAGCATACACTCACGTGCCAAGACGATGACGCATGGCAATTTCTGGAAGGAAGAAAACAAAATAAAGTGCTTTAGTCGCCTGTGAAAAAAGTGGTAAAACCAGGAAAGTTATTGTTGTATTGTGTGGAGGATTGTTTTGCATATCGCAAACAACGTTACAACACTGGCGTTTTATTGGCATTTCCGTCTGAATTGAGATGGGGTGATAATATGTAGGGTGATTCTTACCGTCCATTCTACGCTGGCATGAGGCGAGACCAAGCTGCTCGGACTGTCAGAGATAAGGACATGAATGTAAACCCAAACTGGTAGAGACGAATCCGCCGGAATTTCAGGAGTTGAGCCATCACGTGGCCAAAGTGATAGTAACTGATTACGATCCTGATATTTGACGCTAGGGCTTAACTTCGATTCCAGCACATCCAGCAAACTGTAATTAGCAGTATGGAGTACTTCAGAACACCATTAACACGTTGACGACCACTGAGCCAGAGGTGGCTCATAAGTGAGCGGCCACGTGGGACAATTTGAGCCACCGGTGGCTCATAACTTTCTCCATCACTTTTCGGGTTATTGAGGGCAGCTCAATCGATCTTTTTCTTGCTTTCAAATAATCTATAAAAGGTGAGTGTTCAACAGGGATGAGCAAGGAAAGTGTTGCTGCCTTCATGGGATATTAATTAAAAATTAGAATTTTAAAACTAGCTACTGCTGCGGCAGAAACATCCAAAATAATTCTTTTTGGACGGAACCTTGGCTGCAGGGACTGCGTGGTGCTTTGATCATGAACATGGGATCGTATTTGTCGTTGGCGCCATAAGGCGCAAGTAGGCGCCATTTCTGCGCTAGCAGTCTTTCTGGCACCGAATGCAATGGAAACCTTCATAGCTAGGTTATTTGACATCCTTGTCACAAATATCGTTGCCTTCCAGAGTTGGCGCCAGTCGATTTTTTTTACACCGACTATGGCGTAGCCGGCTATGTGTCGGTGAGGGCGTCTATGAATCACTGCAATGTGTAAAAGCAGAAATCTCAAGAAAATTCTGAGAAACAGAAGTGAACGGCACACGTTTTGGAAATCATGGTCGTGCTAAAAAGTGGGCGTCATCGCAGAGGGCGGGGCATGAGATGGTATCCATTATGGTCAAGGATGGTTCAAACAGCAGTCCCTGCGCGATTGACTAATCATTTTGCAAAATTTGACATAGCGGCAAAAAAGTGGTCCACGAGAGACAATATGAGCCACCGGTGGCTCAAAGCGGGCGCATGCGAAAACACGCCATTGTCCCACGCGGCGCTTTCCCGCAAAACGCGATTGTCGTCAACGTGTTAGATTGCTATGATAAGCTGCTGAAGCAAAGTGATATATGAGATGTGCCACCTACCTCTCTAGATCAGTGTGCAGTCGCTGGCGAGTAGAAGCACTCGGTGGGCGGAGAAGGGTAGCATTTATGAGGAAAAGTTGAATGATGTAGTCTGCCAGGGACGCAAGAGAGGCAGTGCTACGAATAACTGATGGGAAGTGTGAGATGTGGAATTCCACGCGACCAATGTAAGCGATCAGTTCCTGAAAAGTCCCGCTGAAGACACCTTGCCCGTTGTGATTCGCCCTACACTGCGACGCATCGCTGAATAAACTAAAATAGCAAATCCTACACCGCTTTGTTAACATGCCAAATCGAATAAGCAATCAGAAATGATACCTGCATATATGGAGATATTTCTTTGTCGCCAAGCACTTCACGATGCATCGCACCGGCAATTGTAAATATACTTTCACGAATCGACTCCATTATGACTGCTACAGCATCACGCTCGAATGACAACACGGCTGTTGCCTGAGATGGCCATTTAGTGACGAGACTATTAGCCACCTCCAAGAGTCTATAGTTCTTCAACTGATCACTTCGTAGTCGATCCCCTAAAATTGTTTCGATCCTAAGTCCACCCAAAAAGGTGATGAATTCAGTACTAGATATCTCATTTTCATATTCGACGTGAGACTATTATGTAGCTGGAGGGCCAATGCTGGGGCAGAATCGCCTTCCTTCAAGCCACCATCCAAGCGGAGGGTACACTGCCACGCAGAACAGTTGTAAAATTAGATCAGATGTGAGAGCAGCCGTCTGGTACGCACAAACCTTGCGTCAAATTTGAAAGAGGGTAAATTCTCAACTACGACAGTGCCGGGGCTTCTCAAGAGCCATAGTCGAGTCTCGAGAAACAATATGAGCATGTTGTTGCTGCTTGTAACACAGCAACAACATGCTGATACTCAGCAGGACAGCCAAAGGATACCACAAGGAAGGAAGTCTGTGTATTGCACAAGGAGGTCAATAAGTATGCAAAATTCCAATTTAGGCTCTCTTCAATCAGGTTACCATCGATATGCGAGAAAAATCCAAAAGGGGATAGCATCACGCCCAGGCACGTAATTTCAGAACTTGCGCCAACTGGAATAGAAAGACAAGGATTTGAAATGAGGTTTTTATTTATTAATTGAAAGATGAAAGTAAACAAGAACTTCGAGGCTGCAGTATAAAGCTTTCACCGCTGGCCGGTCTCCATTTGAGACGTATTCCACTCCCACTCATAATCGGACTGGCTTACTGAATGCGAAAAGGCCAGCACAGTGAGTGCGAGGGATAGTCACAATACAATTATTATCCCCTTCACTTTGGTGTCAAGCAGGAAAAATTGAGCTGCATTCACGCATATTGAGGGATATAAAAACCCCCAGCTATGTCCCAAATTTCATTCACGCCGTCCGACAGCAGCACTAAACTCAGAGACCTGGACTCTTTGAAAGCACGGCAAACATCCCGCAAAGGTCATCTTACGGGCCCTTGACAAAATTTTGGAATCTTCTCGATAAGGCACGTAATGGAGGGAATAAGTGTTCCATATTTTTCGACGATCGAAAATAAGTACTTTGATGGATTTGCTAAGATTTATAGGAAAGATCAGGCGGGTTAGGTACATCAAGTGACTCGATAATGACTTTTGAACTAGCGCTAATACTCTCTGGATTCTATGGGAAGCCGAACGAATAGCTGGAGCTGAGAGCCGTCGATTCAAACGTCATAATTTTCCGCAATAATCGGAGCAAACTCGATAAAAGGCATCGTCCGTTGGGCAGATAGAACCCTTCACACTACTTCTGTACATACCAAAGATACGCTACAGACACAAGGCTACAGAAAACAAGCAGATTGGCAAAGCACATATCATACTGATGTAAGATTTTTCATGAGGCTCTGAAACTTACCCAAAAGCAAATTTTCTGAATCTAGCTTTAGCTCGGATTCTAGACGCTTTGCAACCATGCTGAGACACTTTTGGATATTTCTTTCAGTCTCATCTCGAAGTTCATTATCCCACTCAAGCCGCTTCGTTTCTTCTTCAACCGCCGAAATCAGCTAGAATTACGGCAATGAATAAACATCAAATAGACTATTAAATATGTCATTACATGACACTTTCAAACGAACCACGTCCACGAACACCCAGTTTTGGGTTGTAGTAAAATCATGCTGTTCTACTATTCGGTGAAGCCTGGCCAATGACTGACTCAGAATAGAAATTTTCAGTGGTCGAAGAGCGTCGATAAGAGGTCCCGTGCACTCCGGACGTGCATTGAGAACTCGGCTCATTTGTTGGACAAATCTGGAAAAGAGAAGAGGACTTGGACGTGAAGCATAATTTGACATGATGGTACGAAATAGTAGTACCGCAATCCAAAAGGAGCATCGGACGGCACACGAGCACGAATGATGCGCGCTAGTTTTTCAACGAATTTCATCATCTGGGTTTTACCTAAATGCAAACCGTTCAGGCCTTCACGTGAGTCAATAAGCAATCCAATGATTTACCTAGCAAAGCGCATTGCTCAAGTTGTGAATGTATAAGATTAACGCATTGCTGAAGAAGTCGCGCACTGTTTTCTGAAGATGACGACAATTCCACCAGTCTTAAATCAACCTCCGCAGCCGCTGATGACAACTGCACCTCGAGTTCGGCTGTAATTATAAAATATGAAATTTCTCATCGACAGTGGAAAAGGCCATAGATGATGTGTGCCACTAAAACTAAAGAATGAATATTAAATTTTTTGTCTCAGTTAACTGCTATGGGGCACATGTCATAAAAAAAGCCAAAATACCCTCAAGCACTCCGAGATTTTCCAACGCTCTTGTGGCTGAGGCAATCAGAGAGGCGTTGAGGCTAACGAGCCCCCGACGCATATCACCGGCAGCCGATCGACGCACCTCAAGTACAAAGATAAGGGATCGGGAAAGCAAACCACTAGTTTTGGCAAGCAGGAGAATGTTTTCGCAAGCAGTAACTCTTCTCCTTCACTTCTGTTTCATCCAAACACAATGGGATAAATGATGGACTTCACTGATGAACGATGCTTTCGCGAGATACACCATGTAATCTACCCCCATTCAGAATTGTAGAGGATAATTGAATGCGATGCGACCTATACAATGACTTGCGAGGGCCAGCCATGTACAAATTAATGTTAATTTCCTCCCAAACGAACCGGTATCTATTTACTGTCCTGGAGTAGAAGGCTTCGTTCGCCTGGGCGGGTGCCGATTGGGGATGTGGACACTCCATTGTCTTATGACGATGAATTCAAATCTACCTTCTGAATTTGCAAAACGGTTCTCTGAGCGGAATAACTAACTCAAGCCAACTTTTTGGTGGAGACAGAATCTCACATTTTGCTAGACTGCCACTCCTGGAAGTTATTTGATCCCATGAACACACATATTACACCTGTTTTGGTCGAGGTTGATTATTTCGTGCGCTACATATACCGGCCCTTTCACGCAGCGGGTGCCGGCTTGGGCACCAAAAGGCCTTCAAGAAAAACTGTAACAAAAACTTCAGGTTTCATTCAGAGAGCCGTTTCGCAAATTCTGAAGGTGGATATGAGCTCATCGTCTCAAGGCGCTGTAACGATGCGCACCCTTTTGCAAATGGCCATATTGACCTATTGACCCTTCCCTGGTAAGCAAACCATGAGAGGGCGAAAGAAGTAGCAGTCACAGGGGCCTATGTCACGTATGTCAGGAGAATATGGCGGGCAGATTATGGTTCCCCAGCCGTGCTGCTCAATTATTTGGCGGGTCTCCATAGCAGTATGGTACTCGCGTCGTCACGAAAGAAAAGCTCCGCAGCTAGTCTTGGTTATTTTTCTCCAACAATTTACAAGGGATTCAGGAGCTGAGTGGCATAATTTGTAGGGTGACCGCGTGCCCTTACGGGAGCGGTTCGCTGCACAGCATTGGCCTCGCGTCTGAGAAGCAGCACAAAAGAACCCTCTTGGAGTGCATGCTCAGGCTGGCCTGCTAGGATGGGTCTTCGCCTCAAGACAGACATAGGGCACTGTGTGAACAGGAATCATAGAGAACCCAGTTACATAGAATCTCTCTCCTCCACTTAACAGCTTCCAAGGAACTGTTTTTGGCTGGGGCGGAGAAGAAGAGACTGACCAGGGCGTATCCGGGTGCACCGCGTGCCATGTCAACGTATGAGTGATTCATCGAGCCGGTACTTTCAACAGCCGAGAGCTTAGCGGCGATTGACTACTGTAAAATAACTACACCCGAGTCTTGTCGCAAGACCGCGCGTGGAAGCCTCCGGATCCACGTTGGATCCTTTGTGAACGGTGGAGTCTTGCACTTCCCAGGAGACTGAGGTGTGCCTTCGAAGACCGTGTCTCATTCCGCGAAGCGAGCGAACCAGGACAACCCTGATGGTAGTGATGTCCTCCCCAGGTGCACTGCTGATATTGCGAACACCTGTCGTAGCTCCAGTGCCCGGCACTACCCACTAGAAGATGATGACTTGAAGCTGCTTCTGTGAAACTGACTTTATAATTGAACTCAAGGAAGACCAGGTGCATTTGTTTACCTCTTGCGCGAAGTCTTCGAGGATGTTCCACAATAAAAGCATGTTACGTCATTCAAGCGTCAAAGATCAAAGGCTGTAAGCTATCCGGCAACACTTACAGGACTTTATTTTCAACCCAATACATATTAGGTTGTCTGGAAAGTTCCGCAGGTTTCGAGTGTTTCACTTTAAACGATGCATAACTTTCTTAACACTCATCGGATTTAATCCAAATAAGCACCATTCGAATCAGCACACTTTTGCCAAGGTGACAGCAGTCGAGAAATCCCATCAAAGATAAAAACTGGGTGGTCTAGAATCCACGAAATCTACGGTCTTTTTTGCCTGGTCTTAATTGATGAAGTATTTTTCAGCAAGGAAGTTCTGAAAATGTTTGAAAAGGTGATAGTTGTTTGGTGAAGGGTCTGGAGAATATGGTGGGTTTGGTAGAACTTCAACCCCCAATTCGTTCAATTTATGGATAGTGATTTGTGAAACATGTGGGGGGGGGGCGTTGTCATGCAAAAGAATCGGACCCTTTCTTTTGATAAGTGTTGGCTGCAGCTGACAAAATTTTCGGTACATTTCGTCGATTCCTTCACAGCAGGGTTCTGTTGTGATAGTTTAGCCTGGTGATAAAAAGTTATAGTGGATCACACCAGCCGATGACCACCAAGCCGTGACCAGAATTTTTTTTCGTTAGGGTTTGGCTTTAAAAATTACCTCGGTGGTTCGTCGGAATCCAGCCACTGTCCGGAACGTCTCCTGTTATCACACATGACCCATTTTTCATCACAGGTGACAACTCGGCCCAAAAACAGGTCGTTTCTGCTGCGCAAAAGCAATGCAGAAGGAACCTCGAGACGTGCCAATTCCTGCCGGTCACTCCGATTGTGGGGCACCCCCCAATGCGTTCCAGACCCCTGCAACAGTGGATTTGCCAACGCCTAGCTTTTCTGCAATCTCTCAAACTGTATGGGATAGCCTTCGAAATTCCCTTAAAATCCTCGTCAGATATTGCTTTAGGTCGGCCGCTATGAGGTTCATCTTCAAGGCTGAAATCTCCAGAACGAAATTTGTTGAACCATTGCCGCACAGTGCTTTCTCTAGCACTATTGGGCCCCCACACCTGGTTAATTTGTTGAGCTGTTTCGATTGCGGATTGCCCCAATTTATAGTCGAAGAAAAAATCGTCCGAAGTGCTCTTTTCACATGCTTGAAAAAATCTTAAAAAAGGGGGTTCTTCAAGCAGTGGTGAAACGGCAGTTATACCATCAGATAGCACAAAGAATTCTCTTCAGGATGTACTACTGAGACGCAAGGGAGAGTGAGTTTTTAATCAGCAATGAATGTGCAAAAAATAGTAACACAAAACCTGCAAAACTTTCCGGACAACCTAATAATTCATGAACTTGATGGACAGGGGAGTCATTCGTCGCTTGGAAACTAGCCTACATCCTACCCAATGACACAGTTTCTTTTTCAGAAGGTGGTGTTTCTGACCCTAGGCCGCGCTCATTCTCTGAGTATGCTGAAAATCAGTGCTTTACAAGTATATACAATTCCGGGTAGTGCGCGCAAACGAAAGCATTTGCCCGTTTTTGTTCGCTAGGTCGCGAATTGTCTGAAATAGAAGAATCTCCTTATTTGGTACAAAGCTGGTCGCTCAGGATCCCAGTCATTCTGCTACTTTACTCACAAATGTACCTCATTTTCCACAGCTTTCAAACGTGTTGTTAAAGCATCCCGTAGCCACGAAATCGACAATAACTCTGTGTTATCCGCAACCACACCTTTGATTTCGCTAACAATCTCGGAGCGTTTCACGATTTCGTTACGCTTTTCGAGTGAATCTAGCAATTCTTCGCACCTGAACAAGCAAGGGGCGCTAAAGGTCCAAACTGCATCCACAGAGTAAGTAGACAGCAACACATTAAGGCGTACCTTAAAGCATCTGCTGCGAGATTCTTTTCTACAATCAATCTTTCAAGTTTCGCTGTTAAATTGCGATAATCATGTAGCAGCGAGTCAAGCGTTTTCGCGAACCTGAAATGTACAGACAGTTTTCACTTAGGCGCGGAAGACTAGAAGCCCCCATACCTGTCACAACCCTCGTATACTTCGTTCATTTCTGAATGGACATTTCGCTGTGTGCAGTCTAGCGCTTCTAAGGCCGTCGTTTGTTCTAATAACCTTGATAAATTCTCTTCTACCTGAATTCATTTGCTTCCCCCTACTTCATGTTTACACGGAAATCATTTCTCATGAGAGCTGAAGTGCATGCATACTTTGCGACGGTGTTTCAAGCGTTTTGGGAGAGGTGGCGTCTAGAGCGAAAAGGAAAGTGTAGATATCGATATAGCGTTCTTGAGTAAGCGTCACCCTTCTGGACGCAAAGTAAAGAAGACGTAAAGATTTTTCGGGAGAACGGGCGTTTCGGACGCCGATCGATTTATATACCATTTTCACTTCAAAATCACCATTTTAAAACCAAATTCGCCCTTTTTTAAACCAAACTCGCCCTTTTTCAAACCAAATTCACCCTTTTTCAAACCAAATTCACCCCTTTTCAAACCAAATTCACCCCACTTTTCATATCAAATTAACCACACTTATTAGGGCGGGCAACTCATCAACCAGATCACGCCAGACATCACTGTGGGCTCCGCCCCGACGGCCACGCCCACTTGTCAGCGCGGACATAGATTCTCAAATCTTGTTTCATATCTTCTGCTTTTGCTGTTTCCCACAAACACTTTGAGTGGAAACCACCGGGCATTGACACTGGCCGACTCCGCCCATTCTCTAAAGGGCTTGGCAGTCTAGGCTGACCGCGCCCACTTGCTTTTCGCGGAATTGCGATAATTTTTCAAAATTTTTGCATTTCAGGGCTGCGTGAATCCCCGCCCACTGTGAGAGGCTCCGCTCACTTTGGATAAGCCCCAACAACTTTTCAAAAATGGTGCAAATCGGCAGTATAGAGACTTGGCTTGCATGCTAGGGTCTTGTACGTCACTCGGAACAAGAAAATCCGACAAAGTTTATTCCGAATGATCAACAATACCCTAGCATGCGAGCCAAGTCTCTATACTGCCGATTTGCACCATTTTGAAAAGTGGGCGGAGCATCTCACAGTGGGCGGGGTTTCATGCAGCAGCCCTAAAATGCAAAAATTTTGAAAAAACATCGAAATTCCACGAAAATCCAGTGGTGTCAGCCTAGAGTGCCAATCCCTTCAGAGAATGGGCGGAGCCGGTCATGTGTGAATGTACGGTGGTTTTCAGTCAAAGTGTTTGTGGGGAACAGCAAAAGCAGAAGTTATGAAACAAGATTTGAGGATCTATGTCCGCGCTGACAAGTGGGCGTGGCCGTTGGGGCGGGGCTCGCAGTGATGTCTGGCGTGATCTGGTTGATGAGTTGCCCCTCCCCCCCTCCCTAATAAGTGTGGTTAACTTGATGAAAAGTGAGGGTGAATGTGGTTTGAAGAGGGGTGAATTTGGTTTGAAAAAGGGTGAATTTGGTTTAAAAAAGGGCGAATTTGGTTTGGAAGGGTGAATTCAAAGTGAAAATGGTATATACTATCCCTTCCGCTCAACCGCCAGCGTTCCTCTCTAACGCCACATCCATACCCAAAGTTTACTTACTGTTCGCCTAAATGCTCTGAATGCCGATTCCTCCAAAACGACAAAAACATCGACGCAAATATGAACGCAGCCTTATCGTCAGATGCGTCTCAACGCCCCCCACCCAACTGGACCTAATTATTTGGATGCGGATTGAGACTTATTTGACGATAACTGTCATCATAAGCGCCCTTTTTGGAAGGTCTTCGGACCTCACGACTTGATCGCGCAACCAGATCGCAAAGTATGAACCACTCCCAGAGAAAAGGAATGGTGAGGTTTATACATACCCCTTTTCTAAGCTGTCGATTCAGAGATTCATCGATTTGGCTCACACGTCGAAGGATATTTTCGGAGGTATACTCATCGCATGCAACAATTCTGAAAAGAGATGTCAAAGATCAAAAGCAATGGTTGAGCGAGGCGAAATGCGACAAAAACTTGATTTTCTGCACAAAAAATAAACCGCATTGCTTTAACACTAAATCTGTTAAGAGCTCTCTAAATATCGACTGTAACAGAGTATTCGTTCCAAACTAACTTAATTAAGTTGGGCTTCATAAATAAAAAACTTTGCCGAGGTTTTCGTGTATACTATAAATACAACCAGTCTGCAGACCCAACTACAGCAATATTTCGAAAAAGCATTCCACATGGTCCTCCTCCATGTTCGACCCACCAGAACACAGTTTCCAGACACAATTTGGACCAGCCGTTAACACCGAAACTCAGCAAAGCTTGGCAGTACATGTACGGCAGCGATCAGCAAAACCTTACCGTTCGAGATAATTCTGCTCCGCTATTCGTCCCCATATAAAGTCCTCTAAATCTGCCTCCACCGACATCCTTAATCATCACTAAGCAAAAAAAATTAATTCGAGCTGTTATCTGATATTAAGCAGATGTAAACCGTGCGTAAACAAAAAGGAACATAATGATTTGTTTAATGAAAACAGTCAAAATGGCATAACAACATTGAATCAACAACGTGTAACACAATATCCAATAATAATCTCTATACAACGAACATCTATACTGATGAAAACGAAACTGGAGTCTAATGAAATAGATCTAGACTAGTCGTTATGTGCCGTGATGGCAGCCTTTTTGAGATTATATTTCTCTATTTGCACAGAGGGAAGAAGTTCAGAGATCATTCCTTTAGCTATGGTTTGTTTGCTACTGCCATCTCTCAGAGTGAACGATATTCCTTTACGAAATGGCATCGTGCGCGTATAAGTGTGACTGTTGCACTAGCATTTTCTCCAGGCATAATCATCTCTTGTGAAAGATCAAAACGTGCAACCTGAAAGAGGTAGCGACAATGAAACAGTACACATCAGTAACAATTTGAAGTACTGAAGTCTTTCTTTTCATATAACATAGAGAAAGAAAGAAGCAAACAAGCAAAGGAGAAGAAACTAAGGCGGAGTTCGGCGAAGGGGGAAGACACTTTGTACCTTCGCTGCTTCACTAGTTACAAGACCGTTTCACAAGCCTCGGACTGGTGAAGCCCGCAAACTCTTTTGAAGCTGGAGAAAGCTCGTCGAGCCATCAAGGTAAACCCTCTCAATTCTCTTAAGCTCACGAGTCAGCTCGAGAAATGAAATTCATCATTAACTCATCAGAGAGGTGTTTTCAAGATTTGAGAGGTGATATTTACAAACTTTGGCTAGTATCACGTGGCTTCATAAGATTTCACTTACTCTCTACTTACTGGTCTCCACTTACTGGCTCGACACTTTGATGAGAAGAAGCAAATGTGCAAAATGGTCCCCTCCGTCGCTCACCGAACTGCGCCGAAATTCAGGTATAGACATTAAAGAGATGTTCAGAAAAGTAGGTTCTAAGAAACCAATCAAGGTAACCAAACCTGATCCCAAGTACTGCAGAACATCTTATCAGTGAACCCAGATCGAATGCCAACTCGTCGATTGTTTTCTTCTTCGCTAAGCAGGTATATCTCTGCTTTCACGTGATTTGTTACTTGAATAGCGCCAACGTGGCCTAGCCACATACCTGTAAAGCACTGTATGTTAATTAAGGAGAACAAACGGAAAAACGGGAAAAAACAGCCAAGCATAATTATATTGGAAATTGTGACTGACAAGGAATACTCGAATTCGTCCACGGAAAGGAAAAAAAGTTGGAAAAAAAACAATTTCCAAATGCTTTTCAGCAGTCAAGGGGTATTTCCCCTGCCTTTTGCCACGACTGCCTATAAGAGCGCCTTTCCCCTCAGCCGTTTTGAATGTTTTGAACCGCCAGGAATGTACAGTTATCTATCTATTAGGTCATCCCATTCAAAAGTGCCGCGATGTAGAGGAATGGCAGAAAAGCAAAAGGGATATGGAAGCGGGCTACTGCAACATTTGGAGGCTGGTACCTTTAGCTGTGTATCTGTGAAATTTGGCAAACCTACCCACAGAGGAAGTTCTCAAGAAATTGAAAAGAAGCCCGAGTGGTGAAAATCAGCGTCCGATTTTCCACGTCAAAGAGGGAAGTGCGCTGCTCAAATTCGACCGAGCTGGACCAGTAGTTGTGTGTAATGGTGTCCTCGATACACAAGGTAGAAGGTTCGGTTCAGGAGTCCGAAGAAGGAAGAGAGGAAAAAATTTGTTGTCTGGGATGGTCCCATAATGTTCATCCTGCACAAGAAAAAAGGGTGGAGGAAGCCAAGCGCTCAATGTCTGAACACAGAGCCTGGACCTTTGTCGAGCTTCCCCGCGAGACTGACATCCCTGCCGCAACTGCTGCCCGAGTTATGTCCGATAAACTGAGGATGGTCAAGAGGGTGTGCGCAAGGGCACATGATTTTCTTGTTGTAATTGTCATTCGCCGAAATCGGCATCAACAGCAATTTACTCGCACTTGTTGAAAAATCGAAGGTACCAGAAGTAAGGCTTTCGGGGCACTGGGAGCGGGTCATTGGAGGGATTTACTTAACTTGAAGCCAAAATATTACTATTTTATCTATTCTCCTCTTTGTTTTGTTCCAATAAAACCGACAGCACGTTTGAATGGGATCGCCTAATAGCTTTTTGAGAGCTTTCGCGGGCAATTCCTGAAAATGCTGGCGTGCGTTCAGAACAACTGATCGATACCTACAGTTGCCTAGTCGCTCAAACGCTGCACTGCGCTGGAGTAAAGTATGAACACGGCCTATGATTTCCACAATTCACAAAATTGTGCGAAAAATGAGTGGTTAGCATTTAAGTCAAATTGACCTCGCACAACATGATCAGGCTTTACTCCTCTGCAGAGAATGCCGCAATGGTCACCAGCTCGAACCTGAAGGCAACCATGGTGGTGAATGTACATACTAAACAAGAAACTAAAAGTCATTACTACACCAGATCACCTCCTTGACACTTTTTCCGAAAACCTGGATATCGGATGCCGTTGTTAACACTTCCCTATCATTGCCTTTTATCTCCAACTTGTCACCTTTTTTAAGAACACCTCTCTCTATTGTACCGACGACCACCGTACCTAAAAAAATCGTATCGACTATTGCAAGCTGAGATAAAAAACCACCTCAAAAAATCGTATCGACTATTGAAAGCTGAGATAAAAAACCAACCTCGTCCAGTTATAGGCGTCTTGGAAGCCACAGGCATCACGAGGGTTTCATCCTAAAGAATGAGGAAACTGAGCAATGAATGGATCAAAAAAACTGCCGCCCTGAAGAACGAACATCAATTCGTTGCGGTTCAGGGAGTGCATCAAGGACTGAAATCAATTCGGCTACGCTAGAGGTGTCTAGACCTTCAAGTGCATTCAAAGCAGAACCGCGGATTACAGGAGCGTTGTCACCTGAGACGAATGAGTAGCAAAATAATGGAATTCAATGAAAAAGAAAGTAACAAAACTAAAAGTAAAACAAGATCTATGGAATCACCGTCAAAACCTTGAGCCGACAATAGCTCTCGTGCTTCGATTTCCACAAGATCAAGGACATCTCCGTCGACTAGATCAGCTTTATTAATATAGACAATGATGTGTTTTAAGCCAATCTGACGAGCCAGGATGAGATGTTCCTGGAACAAACATTTCACAACTTACGACATTAAAACGTCATCATTGACTCATGGAAACGACTTATTAAAAGGTGATGTGAACACAAATCATGCGACGTCTGAAGTTGAACATACAAGGGATTCGATCAACAAGGTTTCATACATGTTTGAAGCAGTAAACGCTAACAGTCGACGATTAGTATCCACATTCAGTGCTCAGTAAAGACAGGGCATTTAGCTTTATCAACAAATGAAATTTTCCTTAGGTTCAGAAACCTCAACTTACTCCCCAACATACCTCGTTGCAGAAGGTCCGCGAAAATGGCTACATGTTTATCAGCTGATCGCTTCCGGATCGATACGTAGTCTTTTTCATAGTGGATTCAGATTGCCCAGTAGAAAAGTTAAGAGCTTGCCGTGCTACCTTATGGCCCTCTTTGATGCCGTAAGACCAGAAAATCGAGCTACCGAGACAACTCTTTCAAAATAAGGGTCAACTGTATAAAGCGGTACGATGAACGAATTACACCAAGTAGCCTTACTTGAGCACCTTAGTTTGGGCCATCACTCCATCGGTGGCAGCGATCACCAGAATTGCAGCATCCATCTGAGCTGTACCGCAGATCATGTTCTGAAAGCGAGAAATCGAGATAATCCGAAAACAAAAAATCAGGACAAACGATGTATTTCATGAAACAATGAGGTTTAGCCAGAAACTTCGTAAAAAACACTAGCCTTGATGAAATCGGAGTGGCCAGGACAATCAGTATGTGAATATCTCCTCGCTTTACTTTCATACCCAATATGTGCTATATTTATAGTGATTCCTCGTTTCTTTTCTTCTTTAGCCTTGTCAATTTCATCGAATTTCACAGCTTTCGCTAATCCTTAAATGACAACAAAAACAGCTGTTAGCTGCACCAGATATTACGTTCGCTGCGGATGAAGGGGCATGTCAGTGAGGCTTTGTTTGACGCGCTGCTCACCCGTTCTCCACCAGCTGTTGAACCGGGGAAGCGAGAAAAACTGGTGAAAAACGAATGACACGAACGATGTGCACAGCCTCTTCGCTCAGCGGAAGAGAAAAAAGAAAAGAAACGCGCTGACGCTGCGTCAAATCCGTCGTCTCTTGGTACGCCCTATCCTCCGCTTCAATAGCGATAACGCAATAGTCTGCTTGGCCGGCATAGTCAGCAACGGAGGAATGAGAGAATACGCCACCAAGAAAAAATGGACGTCGTTCTTGCGTTTTGGGAGAACTTGTGATCAACGACTCATTGTTAAGAGGCTGCCAACACCACATCAACATCGTTGGCTCACCCACACTGAAGCCCTATCCCCCACTATAGGGTTGGATAGGAATCCTCGTCCGCAGGTTGGCAGTGTTTTCTTCATACTTTCAGGATTAAACGCCGTCCACGAAAGTGTAGGTGAAACGCAATTTCTCAAAACCAGTGATTTTTCCTTTAAAAGTGAAAGAAAACATACCTTGTTTACTTAATACATGAGTGATGGCAGCAGTAAGTGTGGTCTTCCCGTGGTCAATATGACCTATTGTTCCAACGTTGTAATTCGGCTTATTCGAAATTTGAGCAGATTGTGATGCACACCTTATTGAGCCGTACCCAAGAATATTTCGGTGAAAAACATTCAATCTAGGGTCTAGTAAAGAGTTCTTGCCGAACGATGAAACTTTGAATAAACTCCTTGATAACTGTAGAGCCCACGAGCGAGTGTACCCCATCGTCACGCACTGGCGACAACACACCGGTACTTTCTAAAAAAACAATAGAAGAGGAGTGCTAGCTAAATCAGAGCTGATGGTCTCTATCACGATCGCCGAATAAAAACTGTGACGCAAAAAAGAGAGCAAGAGCGCGTCCATACTTTGCGCCAGCTTTCTAAGCTCCCGCCAGCGTCTTCAGCAATAACCGATACCTACACTTTCCTAGTCACCAAAACGCCTGCTCAACGTATGAACGCATTCTAAGCTTGATAGAGCTAATAGCCTCGACAGAGCTAATAGCTGCGTGATTCCGCAGCGAACTCCATATTAATTTTGACTATTCTCCCGGTTTTCGAACGATTCTCCAAGTTTCTTCTCTTTAGGTCCCAAAACATCCATAGCTGACAAGATATGAGATATACAAGGATACGAGATATACAACCATTGCGAGACGAGGAAAAATGAGGTATCGCTAGAAAACGACCGATTAACGGGTAATATACTTTTGTGAAGGGGAACGGGGTTTTTTTCGGGAGCCGCGAATACCACTATCCCCTGTGAGATCTGAACGCGCTCTAAAATTACTATCGTAGCGGAAAGCACACGAGAACTCTGTTGCAAACAAAAGTATTCTAGACGAATAGCCACAAGTCCTTACAACAACTGCACTGCCTCCGGGACTTCTAGGTGCGATTTATAAACACTAAAAAGCGGAAAGTCACCCATGAGAAAAGATACTGATACCTAATTCATCCGGTCAGGAATCCGACAAAGTCTTCTGTAAAAAGAGTGCTTATCATCAGGGTACAGCATAGGGATGTGCGAAACGGCGGTGTCGCTACGACCCCCCCCCCCTTGAAGAGGGTCCACTTACGACCCTATGTTCACCACAAATGGCTTCCTGGAATGGAATCTGGATTTTCGAAAGGCGGACTCTGCTCTAAAATCCAGGCAATAATAGGCTGTTTCAGCCTCATGCAATATGACGCCGAACAATAGCCTCGAATTACCTACAGTTTTGCCTTAGAATCAAAATAAAACTCGTCGTTCGACAACCATGTATGACATGCAACTTGTAACAAGGAACGTATTCGAAACGCGACTAATGGTAATCATTAACAAGCTAAACTAAGTAGAAAAAAATAGACCCAAGAATCAACGTGTCAAGCCCAGATGTGCATTCAATGAATGATGACGGCTGGAAAGTTCATTGAAAACATGCACGACACACAAACAAAAACAAAAGAAAAATAAAAAAAAAGCGGAGCCAAATGAAAAAAAAAGGATGAACAGGCGGCAGTATATCGTTCTATACTTGGCTATTATCGATCGCAACCGGTTGCGACCGCTTTCATAGGAAAACGTTCGCTAGTGTTGTTGGTCCTGCCAAGCGTCCTGGGGTGTTCTCGGGGGGGGGTTATATCTCTTAAGGGGCGCGGCTCTTTTGATGAATGGTTAGCAGCATGGCACACGGAATGTTCCTACTGTTGCGTTTTCTACCCAGTTGCAATCTGAGTGCTTCCCCGTTCGTGAAAATATTTCGGATGGGATTTCCGGATGTTACGTAAATACACGAAGGGTAAGCCGTGTAATTGCACAATGCGGCGCAATTACCGTAATCCAAGAACTGTTTTCAACCAGGAGCGCATTATGGAACCCTATGTTGGTCATTACGTAGGCAAATAATGACCAACATAGTGTACTCAAATATTGAATGTATCCTACGCTACAATCGCTTCCAAGGAACCACTCCATGCTTATTCTGCTTGTGAAAACGGCGAAGTCGTGCGATTTTCACTCGCAGATGCGCACCTAATGAAGAGTATTGTTTTTAACAAGTATCTGATCAGCCATTTCACTGACATCATAGGGTATCCTACTTGTCTTCATGGATTGTTAAAACAAGGCAACGGATGAAATGATACTTGTGAACCAATGACCTCACTTCCGGCACCTGTGTCGTAGCGCACTGTTTGTTCTTGGAGGGTTATACATGATTTCACTCCAATTCATTTTGTATATATGGATTGGAGAAGGCACTTGAATTCTCCTCCGCTACTATGACGGTATCAGCCTGGAACAGACCTGCAGTCTCGATTTCCTGTGTGGTCTTCAGTTTGGATGCGATTTTTACCTTGCGGCCCCAGGAAGAGAAGGATCACTACCGTAGACACCCATTCAGGTGCTGCTTTGCTTCTCGCTCCAGAAGGAAGCCACCACCAACGCTTTCGTTTCGAGCGAAAGGCAGCGTCAGCGGCTAGGGATCAAGATGTAGCGAACGCCCGCGTCCACAGCCGTCTAGGAGTAGTGAAAGGGATAGTTGAGGAGACATCATGAAAATGCGCCGTGTGCGACCGCACCGTGCAACTGCCAAAGCCTAGAATTAAGCTGGCTTGATGTGAGGTGTAGGGCAGCTCTGAGGTGCCGTAGCACGCACCGCAATCTCACGATGCTCAACCAGCTGTGCTAACCTCCTGCCATAATCTCCACTCTTCGACTCTGTTGTGCGCTGGGGTTCGCCATCTATATTTCAAAGATCGCTAGTGTTCGCTGGCCACGTTGGTGGAGCTAGTGGTCGCTGGTGATTGAATAGATGTGACTTCACGTTCAGGAAGTCGAACTACGCCTAGAGACCTACTTTTATACAAATCGAAGACGCAACTTCAACTTCGAAAACTGCGCAGGAAAGGATAAATTGCTCCAAAAATTGCAGAGAGACGAGAAGCATTGGTCATTTTTCGATCTACTCCCGAAATCCTGTACATCTTCGAACTAATGAGCTTAATTCGTTTCGTCAACCCAACAATTCATTATTTCTTCAATTCTTCACCGATAAGTGAAAAGAGCCGTACCGACAGTTACCAAAGTAGAAGCAGTACGGAATGTTTCCTTGAAAGCTATCTTGATCAAGAACCCCTTAATACACGTAATGACCAACCTATAACACCTCAATTGCACTCCATGGCGAAAGCAAACACCTTCGGGGTTACGGTGATCGAGGATTACTTATTTCGAAGCAATTTCATCAGAATTACGCCCTATCTTTTCTCTTTCCAATGAGGTTTACAGTTTTCCTGAAGACCCGCTAATAGATATCTTAGATGGGTCACAGACACGCTACCCTATGACCCACACGAAAAATCGACTCCTTCTTGGCCAGTGTGCCTTCAAAACACATATTTCCTTCAAATGAGTGAAAGAGGAGCTCGGCTATCACCGATCGATTTGGCCCGAGCGTGGGCCGTACATTACGCTCCTACGCAGAGTGGTGGAAAGGTGTAAATTCTGATTTCAGGTGTTTTGTCCATGCAAGCAGATGTTTGTTGAGGGTTTGGAAAGGACACTACGTACGAATCTGTTTGAGACGTACTATTTAGTCATCTACGTACTTACGAGTTCATGCTATTACTTCATATTTATTTATTTACCACTCGGATCGCCCAGCTGTCGCCGGGCGTTCCTTCTGTGACAGCGCCGGCTTCGCCGAGCCATGCGGATTTGCTGCGTGCTATGTTACGGATAGTTTACCAACCAACTGTTCAAAGGAATCTTCTGCTTCATCCAAGAACTGAAAAGTAGCGCCGTCAAGACGCAGAAGCAGCAGCAGCGCCCGTCGCATCACAGAAGGGGAGAGCCGGCCTTAGCCAGCGATCCGACTGGTACGTTCATAACCTACACGGGAATAGTGCAGCCTGTTAGGATAGCCGCTGAAGCAGCCTATAATTTTTTCCTGTCCTCTCAAAGCGTCTTGCCTTGGAATGCACTCCCGCATTTAGCACCCTTCAAATGGCCCTCACTAAGGTCGTTGATGTAAGATAATTGTGGTAAGCGTGATTAAGTGAATTGATGCTGTTCATAACATCTCTGTAAACAAACCCAATGCATAGAGTAGAGCTCTTAGCGGTCGTACATAATGTCGTTACTAATAAACAGTGAGGAATGAGTTCTGTTGGAATCATTGAGATCGTTATGCTTGAGTCATATCGGTCGCATTGTTGTTGTGAGCGGTGAAGCGGATTTTCCCATGTTACCTTGTCACTTTAGCTCCTATCACTTCCGTACCCGCCAATAATATTCCCGTCCCGTATCGCTATCATTTCACTCTATATCGCCTCTCGGATCCGAGTTCCCACTGTTGCTGTAACCTGCATTACGAACTTGATGACCCTCCCCTTCCGAGGCCCCTTATCCGATCTTATCAACTGATATCTTTTTCTATCACCGGCCAATGATATTCCCGTCCCACACCCTATAGCACCTCTTGTATCTGAGGTCCCACTGTTGCTGTGATCTGCGCTACGAATTTGATGACCCTCCCCTTCCGAGGCCGCTTATCGTATCTTATCAACTGTTATCACTTTCTGTCGCCCACCAATGATGTTCCCGTCCCACACCCTATATCACCTCTCGGAACCAAACGTACCACTGCTGCTGTGGCCCGCACTATGGACTGGCTGACCATCCCCCTTGGGCGCCTCTTATCGAATCTTATCAACTGATATCACATCCTGTCACCCACCAATGGTGTTCCCGTCACACCCCCTCCATCACTTCCTGGAATCAAGGTTTCTCTGCCACTGGGACAGGTGTTATGAATTTCGTGACACACACACACACGCACACATATACATATAATATATACACACACAACACACACATATACACACATACACACACAGCAAACAGACACACTAAGCGGATTATATATAGCAGGATTCTCGCTATATTGCATCATTTTTTATCATTTTGTAGTCCTCCTTACATCCGGGTCTTCTGCAGCTTTCCGTCCGTTCCATCAAACTTAGCAATGACACTTTTGTACTGTTTGATGCCTAGCAAGCCTACTTTTGCGATACTCCCCACGTCCCCCGCGGCCAAGTACGAACTCATTTTCGGGGATTTCGCATGAAAAGAGGGGCGTTAAAGGTAGCAGGTAAATCTGTAAAGAATACACTCATAATAATTTCCATTTGCAGGTAAATCTGTAAAGAATACACTCATAATAATTTCCATTTTTTTAAAACATCTTGACTTCCATAGCTCCACTCCCACTATCAACTGAAATGTCGAAGCATTGCCCGGCTCTGAGTGACCCTTGAGATTACGACCCCCCCCCCCTATGGGTTTCGCACAACGAAGCTGTACCCTGCTTACCATAAACCTCCAAAACAATGACACAGAACAGGAACAGGTGGTCATTTTAGTCTGCGGCTTACCCACTAGCCGTCAGGAATTGAAGTGACAAAAAACTTCTCCATAAATGAGCGACTGACTGAAGAATAAGTGACCTGATAAGCTTGAACATTGCCAGAGCTTGGCCAGGTTACAGGAAGACAAATAGTCTTGCCTTTCCTTAATCATGTTGCATGAAAAGCGCTACCGGTTTCCCAGTGTAATTGCGTACCGTGGACGGTTACCGTCTTCATACTTTGTAATAATAAGGTGAGCTGGAAGGTTGAAACACGTACGCTCTATTTCGCTGCGGAAGGTTGGGCAGGTCAGCCAGTATGAGTGTGTCACCCCGTCAAAGCCGTCCTCTGCCTTCTTGTTAAGGTGCGCATGCCACAAAAAGCGGTAGAAAACGAATAATACGAAGGATATGATACAGTGTTGTCACTTGCCCGCTTCAACAAATGGTGGAGAACGAGTTTGGCACCGCGCCAACCGCAGCCGCACTGACACACCCAACCGTCCGCAGCGAACTACACTATATCGACAGAGCGAATGGGAGAATCGCTCCTACCTCGTATTACCTATCTCACACTTTTGGAAGATTGAAATCGTCCAAGGTTGCAGACCATGACCATTATGTCAAAGACGAACTGTACTCTTACCTACGAGAACGGTCTTTGCCATTTGCAAGATAAGTGGGTCTGCAGCCGAGGGACTTCGCACGTTGGGTTTCCCCACGGTCGTGAGAGGTAAAGGGACTTGATCTGTCGTACTTGAAATTAGTTGCGGATAAAGGGTTCTGGTTGACAATTTTTTTTTGATTTTACCTTATTTTCTGTCTCGAGTGCACTCTATACACCCGCGTCCACGCTAGTTTCTTGAGGAGGAAAACTGCAGGAAAATTTGGGAGATGATGGGTTGATGACGAACGGGTGCTGAGGGGAATCGTACATCGAAAAAAAAAACTTCAACAACAGCAGGACGTGCCCTGACTGCAGCTGCAGTAGCGTACCACATTCCCCACTCAAATGTGCACGGGATCGGGACTGAAGGATAGTGATACACGAGTGGCGTTGCACGCGCTATGCTCGTTGTGAACCACTTGAATAGATGCCAAAATCCCGATGGGCATGTCTAGTTAGTGAGAAAGCACACGTAGAAAACGACCAGTAATGAGAGGCTCAGAACGACCAGCAATGAGAGGACTCAGACAAGTAGTTGTTAGGTTATGGTTAGTCTGGGTGCAGCGCGAACAGAATCAGGAGCCCTTAGCCAGGTACCATCTCGCTGCAGCTTCGTTCCCCTGCACTTTTAAAGACAGCCCCCGCGATCAAAGTGGCTCGTGGTCGCCTTTGCTGTGCAAGTAGTCTAGCCTCCAAGCTAGAAGACTGTTCACCTTTCGCGACTTTATTGTGAGCGTGCAGGCTGCTATAGCCGCTCAAAGTGCTAGTTCTAACTCCTCTTCAGTCGGACCGCCTTTACTTGCTAGATGTCCTCCGACCGGAGGCCCTCACTTGTTCTTCAGTTGGGGCGGCGGCTTGGTAACGCCCCTGGATAATTCTGCTCTCCTTCATTACAGTTTACTCATTGGAGGTATATGCATTCAATTCAACCCATTTCGCGAGGTGAAACGAGTGACGCAATTTTCGTGGTGCAAAAACCACGACGCACAAAAGGTGCGCTACCGTAATCACAATTCAGACACCGTGTTGATAAAATTCCTTTTTCCTTCCCAGATTTTTTCCTCTGAGTTTTTGTGTTTTCTTTTTGTATTCTTTCTTTTGCACTAGATGATATTAACTGATATCAACTACTGGCGAGATGTGAATAGCAAGATTTGTGAGTAGGGGCTGCACAGAGACCGCAGGGAGGTGTAACGTGAGGGGAGCGATTTTGTTGATGTTGTTCTGGAAAACGCTTCTTGCCTGTTTTCTTCTTTGGGAGATTACTTAATCAGCTGCGCTTTCATAATTGGAAAGCAAGCTATCCATGAGACTTTTTATCGCGGCGAGTGTTTTTAAGTGTCAGTCGGGGGAGGCGGTCGTTTGGCGCGATTTCATTGCCATTTACACGTTCTGACAGGTAGATGCCTACCGGATAACTTGTTCGAATCACAACTATAAGGTTTTCGTAATTTGTAGCCTAACAAAACCCTCCTGTTTTTGGTTGTAGTGCTCATCATTCAAACAGTAAGTTTTCTTCCAATGATTACTTGGGGATGTGCACTAGTTTGGAGGTTATGGAGAGTTGTTCGGTTTGCCTGACATGTTCTGACGCGTAGGCGACAAAAGAACAAGACATACACCCTTTGACCTTGGCTTCTTCCACAGCTAAGGGTCCAGCGAATAACGCTTGAAAGAGACGTCCAAACACACCTGTTCCCGCAAACCTCCAGGAAAGTCCCAACCACGCTAGTTACCGTAGGCACAGAATCGCAGCAGGGCTACGGTAGTTGCTCTTTGTACGTGATTACACTCTCGCATTTAACGAGTGCAATATGCCTCTAATGAAGACAATTTGTTGTGCGATGGGCGCTATGTTCACGTCGACTGCAAAATTTACGGTGGGTTATAATATGTTCAATTAGTCTCTTTTATCTAGCATCAAAAATCTGTGGTCTTCATGCGCCGTTTCAATGAATCATGCACTTTCCCCGATTTTTTTACTTGCCGGAGTTAGCTCGTAAGTTTGTCCGGGTTTCGTACATTTTCTTTTTGTATGCTAATGGTTATATAATTATCAAGTTGACTCATGTGGTAATCGTAACGTGTGAAATTGCACGAATTCATTCATTTGCTGCATTATTTCGTTTCCAGACGCCTATAGCGCAAATGGCGCAAGCTCGTGTCCCATTGATCAAGTTCATTGGTGCTCGACTGCCTAGGCCGGACTTTTCGCGGTGAGTCCTTTACAAGCAGCTGTCAAAACTGTCTTCCCTTCTAACGATTTCATGCAGAGTCGTATCGGGTCCAATTCCATCACCACCCATTCCTCCCGTCGCATCAGGTTTGGTGGAAAATGTTTTTTTTTAAGTATTCTGATCTGAATCTTTGTCTTAATGTCGCGTTCATTCAATTGTTCATCTTTTATTCCATTTTTTAGCCGGATCGGTTGATGGTACCGTTCAAAAACATGCCGGATACGCAATCTCCGAGGACGAGCTTCCAGTTCGTTTTCGACGCCCTCTTATCGACCAGGAGGAATGTGATGCGATAAATGTGTGTGGCTTTTTTGGTTTGCATCGTTGAGTGTTGGGGCAGTGCTCGAGCTTGTGTTCTGTCTGAGTTCGGCCTCGTTGTCATTGACAACGGGCAAAGCACATGGATGACAGATTGCCTAAGCTTGATACAACCTGCGATTCTGCTTTTGTGCTTTTTTTACAAATGTATCTCTCTATGTCGCGTATTTTGTTTCCTTTCGATGGACTTGTTCGATAGCTTTGTTCAGGCTGGTGGAGCGTATGGTCTGTAGAAGGACTGGAGCTGTTCAATGATCACACCCGATGAAGACGACTTATAATTGCTTTATCTTTAGTACGCTTAGTTTGTATAGTGTCTATGTGATAGATGTATGATGTGTTTCCACTAGGACGTCTAATAAACATAAGAGTTTTTTGTTTTGGATTTAATAAAAAAAGGCAAATGCTTACAGTGCATCTTAGTGTCTTATTGAACGTGCATGAAATCGTCGTCGATCATTCGCTTCATTCTGCTGGTTTTTAGGTATGAAGTCTGTTGTATATTCTACCTAAGTTTTGCCTTCAATGTCAGAGAAAAATGTGCTCCAAAGATCAGGCTCAACGAAAGGAAGGTATCGCTATGAATACTGGTTCTATACCGCCATCTGCTGATCGGATGGTGTTGGGTTTCATGCGTTTTAGGCGCATATATTCTGAAATTCGTTGCAGGGATCTGCTGTCTTTGGTACACTCAGTCGTTGAAGCTTGTATCTCAAAAAGCGTTGAAGAGCAAAGGAAGTTTGCCGAATGGTCTGTGTTATCCTCATATTATAGGCAGTCTCCGCGCCCATGAAATTTGTAAGCGTTCTCTCTTGTACAAGGACCTTATGTTCCGGGTTCGGGTTTGCAGTCTCAGATCATCTCCTTCTGCGGCTTCATAGCAAATAGGAAGGCGGTCCTCATAAAAATCAGTTGTCGCCTCTCCGGTTGTCCCTTCAGAGGCTATTTTCTGTAACGAAACACGTTTTTACACAGTGTTTTCGTTTTTTGTTCTCTTACTGTTGAATGGTATTAGTATTGGATGACACGGGAGGAATGATTGGTGAGCCGGCAGGATGTCACTTTGCTGGTATAAAACGAGCAGGTCCGAGCAGCAACCCGTCCAAGGAGAGCTATCACATTCCTGATGGGGGTACTCTCCATAATTTTTTCATCTGTTTCTTTCTTCCTGTAGAGTCATTTGAAGCCCATATAGTGTTGTAATTGAACGCCACTATTCACAATATAACACAATCGCGGGTTTACAAGCCTTTAGTGCATTCACAGTATCCATATGGGATACTCTTTTTTCTAACTCGAGCGAGGTTGAGGTTGTAAACGGAATGCGTATGAACAGTCCTAGCGCCTCCTTTCAGTTCATTATCCCATGCTCCGTCTACATAAGAAACCAATATTTGCATTTAGTTTGAGGCGGCATGGACACCACCGTGCGGACACCTCGGCAACGTTCACATACTATTTATCAAAGAAGCAGTCGATCCGATGGAGATCATCTAAGGACTCTTCTGAAAGCCATAGAAGTAGGCTATTCTTTCTTTCTTTCTGTTTTCTCGAAGAGTTCTTCTACTTCAAAGTTTGAAGATGTGCCAGCGATGACTTCTTGCCTCATAGTGTTGTGCAGACTCATCCAGGGATTTGATCAACACCGGTTCTATGAAAGGTTCGAAAACCATCATTTGCATGTTTTATTTATTATTTATATTTTATCTGTTATTATTGGATATCGTATATTCAGCCAGACAAAGACGGCATCCGTAAAATTGCTTAAAGCTGACGCGACATTCGTCCCTCATTTCGTACTCTAAGGTACAGGCTCAAAGACGTGTTACCCAAGAAAGAGTAGCGAAAAAAGAGAATCTCACGATGAGCTCACTGCCCTAGCAGATCACACCGATGACACCGTCGCAGAACTCGTTCTTGCTATCCGCGACAAAAGGTTGCTACTTCTGATTCAACTAGGCATTCTGGCATACTTTTTCCATAGACGGTAGATCGCGCAAGAAACTGCGCACTGCGCAACATCACTTAGCCGTTTATTGTCACTGTGGTTACGTGTACGATATGAAAGTTGCACTTATTGAAGGATGGGCATGAAAATATTTTCAGGATTTGTTATTTGTTCTGGATGTTGTGTCACTTTTTGCATCAGTGTTCTTTTTATTGCGAATGGAGGGGCATGTCAGGCGCGATGGGTTTGGTGCGGCGTTCAAGCCATTGCAGCCACCCACAGGTTGTTGAAACGTGTAGGTGACACACTTACAGGGAAACAACTGAAACGAATGACATGATGCAGACTTCTTGCTTGCTTGCTTCAACAACTGGTGGAAAATGGGTTTGACGCCTGCGCCAACGCTAGTGTCCGTATGGAGAGGGAAATTGTGCGCAAATGACCTACAGTGTCCTGCGAGCTGATGTACGATCTAGTTTTTATCCTTCGTGATGCTGAGTACCGAATAACTCACCCGAAAGGACTGAGTGTCAGTTTAGTAAAAGGCTCGGTTTCTACAGGCGCTAGTTGCTCCGAAGTAGAGCTGCTAATACCTCCCCCACTTTTTCCCGATCACTAGTTTTTATACTCATCTTATCTTATTTGCGGAAGTATCTTTAACTTTGGCTTGATCCACCCTTGCTCCGTATCGAAAATATGTTCTGGCGATTCAACCGCGGGGATTAGTAGGGACGACAAGAAATTTGATAGCCTTGTGTTTTTTCTAGTGTTTCTTCCGATCGAAATTTACTGTGTTCTGCGCCCGATATTTGCAGTAAGTGTGAGCTACAATGAAGAAGCCTTCTCCACAGAATAGGTCCTCAGCCTCCATAGCGGTTTTATCTATTCCGCCGAAATATAGCAGCCCTACGGGCGTTAGATGAGAGTTAGCGGTGTCGTTAAGCAAGAGAACATCACCGCGACCTTTCCAGATCAATGTTATTTGCTGCAACTGTCCTTGACAGCCTGACCGTAAATAGCTCTTTATCTTATTTATTTGTTTATTTATTTATCTATTAGCACATAGCGTGCACCATCGACAGCGAAAACAAAACTGTTAGTAATTCAGAACAAAGGAAGAAAAAAAAACCGAACACGTAAGAAACAAACAAACCGCTAGATATACCAAACAAATGATAGACAGGAGATAAATATGGATCTGTACATAATGGATTCGATTTATTCACTGCACCTTTGTACTTCCAAATACTCCCTTTCAGATTGCCGGCTATCGCTGAAAATTCGGGTAGGAGGTGTGCTGCAGTTGTTATGTGCCATTATTACGAGTGACTGTGAGCATCCACTTAGTCCCACTATGGCGAAGCTGTTTTGTCGCTCCGTTCGATCACGTAAGTTGATTATTATTCCCACACCATTAACTCAATTCCTTCAGTTTGCTGCAATATGGGGAAAGGATTGAGTTTGCTTCCCTTGTGCTTCTTTTAATAACTCACCGAAATGCACACTTTTGGTTTACGTCATCGATCCTCATTTTCTTCTTTCATGAAAATATATCCCTATTCACTAATTGGTACTTGTTGGTACGGTTTTCTAATTATTGGCTGAAGTTTGTCAGCAGTTGTCATTTATCTGGTTGTGTGTACAGGCTCGAGTACAACTAGCGATTGAACTACGGTTCGGTTCTAACTGAGTGGCTCGATGGAGAAACCTTCAAGAATCGCTCATAATTGACCTGTTGGGGGTGTCTCTTGTTAGCACAGCCACCGCAGACGCAGACTCATATGCGTCATCTTATAAAACATTTTGACTCCGAAACTCCGTCAAAAACTCCATTTTGCTTCTGCTAACTCGTCGGGAGGAGGCTTTATTTCTGCGTATCATGATAGAACTATCCCGTCTGATCTGGCGTCAAACGTGTGCCCGGATACAACACTGATTCCATCCATATTGCACTGACATATTCTGCTCAGATATATAAGGACAAGAAATGATGCTATATGCTAATGTGGGACATCCTTGCACAACTGAATACATTCCTGTGGTACCAAATCAACTAACATCATTTTATCTAGAGTTATACAATACTGTGCGATAGGTACTGCTAATAGAAACGCCGGATCGATCCATAACACCGGCAAGCTTTCCGTCTTTGAACGTCTGGATGATTGCGTGGTAGTTTTCCTTGAAAAAGTTGCCTCATATCCACAGGCGTCCATCCTGAATAATAACTGCCTTGTGCCTGAAAATGTATAACATCGTTTAACTTAAATCGAAGCTGGTATAGAAGTGAGGTATGAATAGTAGATTTCCGACGCCCGTTCCGCTGAGATCCTTAAGGCCGAGCGTTCCTGATGTAGGATCAGTATTGCCGCTCTAGAAAAAGAATGGTATCAAGCCTTAATGACGTAACCCAGACAAAAACCACAAAAACAAAGAAAAACGCTTTGTCTCACCACATGAAAAGCTGTTCCTTTTGACACGATGATGTCCGTGATCATGCAGCGATTGCCTCACGCACTTAATCCAGATTTCAAACCAAGAGATTAAATGAGTTTGTTTCGGATTTTACGATAACCAAAAACGCAACTTTCAGGCAATTGCCCACGGAAAACTGTGACAAGATTGGCTGTTCTCACTTAGCCTTACAAAAGCATGAGACATTCTCATGAGTTCCAACTGCTCTTTTGCCAATTTATTTTACAGCTCTGAAATAAGTTCACAATATCGTTAGAAGCATTCCTGTTCATTACTGTAGAGTCGTTTCACAATATCGTCAGAAGCATTCATGTTCATTACTGTAGAGTCGTTTTCGTGCTCCTGTTTAGGTCGGCCAAAAGAGCAGTTCCACGCCTTCCAGCAGGCTGAAGATAATGAAAGAGACTCTGCCGTTAACTGATTCATAGCATTCCTTCATTTTTCCTCCTTTCCGCTTCCCTTTGGTCCGCTTTCGCGGTTCCACAAGAGCGCTGAAGGCTCGATAAATTGAAGTTACAAGTACCTTGAAGGTGCTTCGCCACTTGGGGGCGAGATGTCTAAGCGGTAGTCGCCGTAAACACAAGTGCCATTCACGAAGGGAGCACATGCGTTAAAAGCCAATCGTTTCGCAGGGTAGGATGTTTCTGACGCGCCGATGATGGAGTCCTACTTTTGCTCGCTAGGTCATGGTTTCCACCAGTTTTTCACCAGGAAATCCCCAAGCTACGTTATGTTATAAAGAAGAAGAAGGAGCCACTTTGAGGCGGCCATGCATGCAGTTGACGGTTCCATTTTCCGGTATGAAGTCACCAGGTACGGGCAATCGTTTGGTCAGAGGTGTCTTGTTTTGTGTTCTTCCGCTTCTTTTCCTTTTTCCTTCTACTATCAAGGAGTGACGATCGCGGGGTGTGTCCTAAAGGAAGTCGCATCTCTGAGCGTGTTTTGGAGCCACTTCCTCATAGACTGCTTGCGGTGAAAACAGTTCTTTGCTGGCTTTGAATGTGATCCTCAATGGACTGAGAAAAAGCTGGAGTCTTGAAGCGCCCGTATCCTAGAAGAATTCCGCTCACACTAAATCAATTCTTATCTTACTTCATCGGTCACTGCGATAGTTCCAGACTGAGCTCTGTTCTCTTCGAGCTGCGTCATCCTGAGGAAATGGGAGGGTGGATGGGCCACTCAGTAAGCAGAAATAAGCCGCAATGGTCGTGACCCGACACGCCCATATTCCATGCGCCTCACGGAGGCGCCTGCCTTACGAAATACCTACCACCCGACTCGTTAGCATGCGCAAAACAACGATTTTCTTTTCCATGGCTCATCTCGTTTTTGCACTAATCATACTGACAACATGTGAACGCCTCCTCAAAATGCTCCACAGTCTTCTGCTTTACGAGTTGCAGTTTTAGTTATAGCTTAAGTGATACAGAAGGCGCTGCTCAGGGTGAGGGGGGGGGGTACATTTTGCTAGTTGGCTAGTTTCTTCAAGTTCTCGTCTTGATGTTTCGGTGTCATTATATGGCTTCACAGTAGCTTACACTTCTGCGCATCTCCGAGAGCTTCGAGAGCTAGGAAAGTGGCCCATTGAGGCGAACCGTACTAACGCAGTATTCAGAAATAGCGCAACGCATAGATTTGAAACCACTCTTCGTCTTTCTTTTGAGAGAGTAAGTGGTAGTCTTTATTTTAAGTTTGTGTCGTGCTCGTTGACGTTCAAGGATCTTTTTGAATTTGGATAATACTGGTAATTTGTAGCCTTCCAATGTGACCGAAAGAAATCGTACACAGTTATCGAATTTTGATCTTGTTCCGTACAAGGTTGTCAGATGGAACCCTGTAATGCCCAACTTCTCTTCTCGTCTTCTTCGGAGTCCTGAGAATGGCTAGAGGTTCTTTATTTGTAAGCTACCCAGCCAGACGCCTTCCTCACTTTATCGGACCCCGTGTCTCGAACGGTTCTAAATAATCCTGAGGTGAGTGCGATCGACTTGCCGAAAATCTTACCGTGCGGAGTCTAGCTCACGCCGTGGGTTCATAAAGTTGGTAAGAACAAATTAGTCTCGCTTGAGTCTCA